GGTCCGGAAGGTCCACCCCCGAGTCGACATCGCGAGCTTGCTTCCGTCTTGCGTGTCTGTAGGACCCGGGGACACCGGCGGCTCCGTACGGGCCTCCCGGACCTCCTCCTACAGGCCAGTTTCTGCCTCCCGACATGTCTTCATGGCGGTCTCAGCAGGCGTGCGGGGGAGCTAGTAACGGGGCCGTCCACACAGCCTTTGCTGGCTGTGCAGCCGGGGTCTCTCAGTTGCTGGGGTCCGGCCTCGTGCCTCAAGCACGCAGGGGTCTGTTCACGTGGGCTCGGCCCCCCTTGCTGTGGGGAGAAGACTTATTCTCTAGCAGTTCAGAAGTTTCTTGGGAGTAAAACGTTTCAGAGTTTCGGCTGCTGAGTGGGGTCTCACTCCGACGGTGGTCAGGGGCCCGTTTGCAGGGGCCCGCGACTCACTCCCAGTGAGTCGTCTCAGCCAGGGGCTCCGTGGGGGTCTCCCTCTGCTCCAGCGATGTGAGTCCCTCACCCAGGGCTCGAGGACGGAGTGGACATCGCTGTGCTGGAAACAAACCCTGGGCCACGCTCAGCCGGGAAGGGAAGGAAGGGACCTTCTGCGTTCAGTGACGCTGGCGTTCTGCACACAAATGAATCACACGTGAATGTTTTCCAGACAGTAAATTCAGGGTTTTCACAAGAGATTGTCGTTGTCATTGTCCTCCTGTTGTTCATCGATTTGCTCGAGCAGGCCCAGTAACATCTCTATCGTGAGACTTGTTGTTACTGTGTCTGGCATATCGAACACGTCACGGGGAGCTTGCCAGGCTCTGCCGTGCGGGCGAGATACTCTCGGTAGCTTGCCGGGCTCTCCAAGAGGGGTGGAGGAATCGAACTCGGGTCGGCCATGTTGGGCTGCTTGCAAGGCACACGCCCTACCGCTGTGCTATCGCTCCAGCCCTTCAGAAGAGATATTTAACCTATTTAACGAGATAAGCGTGATCTTTATTTTTGCTATTGATGAGCTAATGCTGCTTCACATTAGTGAAAGTTACTATCTTTTTAAGTCAAGACCCCCCCACAAAGCTCTCAGTTAGGGCTGATTTTAAATAATAGTTGGACAGTCAGTAGATTGATTCAATAGATTGGATCAGTCAGTCAGAGGGAGAACGCAAAAGAGAACTGACTCGAACCCGGCTGGGAGAGGCAGAAGCCCTGAAGAGGGGAGGCGGAGGGAAGGCTGGCAGGGTGGGGGTGTTACGGGGTGGGAGTGCCGTGGCGGTGGAGTGGTGGGTGGTGTGGGGTCTGTGTGGGGATGGGGCAGGGGTGAAGGTGGACTGCGTGGAGGTGATGTGGGTGGAGGTGATTGGGTGGCGGTGATGTGGTGGAGGGCGGGGGTGTCAGGTGGCAGTGCTCCAGCTGGTCACTGCCCCGATAGGCAGACGACAGCCTTGTGGTGTAGCAGCGTGGACGGCAGCTCCACGCCAGAGGCCCGTGTGGGCCCGGGAGGCAGATCTGGGGCCGAGCCGAGGCGGTCAGCCTGCACCTCCGTCCCTTTGGCCTGGTGTGTCCGGAGGCTCCTGTGGGTCCACCGGGGTCTGTGGTGGCCACACAGTGCCCAGCCAGGCTCTGGTTGACGGGGTGAGTCGGAGTCAGCTGCTGTCGGCGTAGCCGGGACATTTCTCTTCTAGACACTTCTGTGGCTTGATCCCTGCTCTGCCGTGGCTTACTGGCCAGTGCCCCAAACCCATGTCCTGGGAACCCCATGCAGAGTCCAGCATGCCCAGTGGCCGCTGCCCTGGGGGTGGGCGACTGACCCAGCCCCTGTGGCGTGTCTCTAGTCAAGGGAAGCTGCTTCCCAGGGTCTTCCTGGAAACGGTGCGCCTGAGCCGAGTCGAGGCCCTCGGGAGTGACGATGAAGGACTGTGCAGCCCCCAGCCCTGAGTCCTCGCACTGGCCGTCCCCCGCGGCGGGCAGCGGCTGGGGCGGGGCTGTTGTCCGCGGGGCGTGTGAGCGTCCCACGTGACCACACGCTCCCGCTGCATCCCTGACGCTGCGTTCACTTTGGAGGATCCGTCTGGGGGCAGAAATGAGGTCGTATTGATTTCAGGAAAAGTTGAAGTGGTTACACATGGTTGCCTTTGCCTTAAAAGGACCCGTGTTTGGTTCTAATTTGAACAGTACTAAAGCACAACAGGACCGGCCTCTGCCGCCGCGTCACACCCCGCCAGGCGGGGACGTGCGTGGCTGCAGCGCTGTCCTGGCCGCCGTCCCCCCACACCCCCTCCCCGCCCCCGACCCCCTTGCTCAGGTGTCCTTGTTGGGGGCGGGCACTGACCGCCTGTCGAGAGTGGGGTGGGGTGTGCGTGCCGGGAAACCGGGGCCGGTGGCGGCCTGCGTGCAGCCCCGGGAAACAGTATGTTCTGTTGCAAGCGCCGTGTTTATGTTCACGCTGCTTCACGCGGAACGCAGGGCTGACAGCGCGCCTGCTTCTGCCCCCTGTTCTAGAAACCATCAGTCGCAGATCCCCACACGGGGTGGGACTCCCTGAGCTCCCTCATACCCCAGGTCGGCCCCAACGGGGTCCCCCAGGCCCGGCCCCAGCTGCCCCTCTCTTGCCGCACCTCTGGGCCTGGGCTTGCCCAGGTGGCTTCTGGAGCTCTGGGTGGCCCCTGGGGCGGGGGTTCCGTGGGTGCCTCTGCCCCATCCCGGGGCTTCTCTCAGGCAGGGACACACCGTCCCTGCAGGCTGCACCCCCTTTCCTGGAGACCCCAGCCTCCAGATTCCCCCAAGTGCCCAGGGAGTGGGCCATACCAGGCACCGAAGCGCAGCCAGGCCCCTCTTCTGGGCCCAGACCCGGCCTGGCTGCGAGGGTCCTCGTGTGGACCTGCCGTGCGTGGCTGCTCCTAGCTCCCGGCTGAGTCACCCGCAGCCGACAGCCCCAGCCTGCGGGCACGCCGGCGTTCTGGAAGCAGTGAGACATCTCGCCAGAGCCTGGTGGCGGCTCTTGTGCGCAGCATTTGGGACAGCGGCCACGTGAGCTGCGCCACATCCCGGGGAGGGCTGGGGCACCCCGGGCATGCTGGTTTTCCCCCCGCCGTGCTCCCTCCGGGGCTGACGTCAGCCCACGGCACCCCCCCACCCCCATGTCTCTGCTTTGTGGTCGAGTCTTCCTTCCACAAACGAATGCAGAGCGGCCGCTCCAGCAGAAGACACGCAGGCCTGTGTGTGCGTGTGTGTGCGCGCGCGAGCTGTGGCCCCAGGCTCTGAGGGCCATGTGGCCGGGGGTCCGACAGCATGCGGAGCCGCTCTGGGACCACGCTGGGGTGGTGCGGTCGCTGCGGCTCTCTGGCCTGTCCGGGAGACTCAGTGTTGGCATTTCCGTCCCGTGCTCCCTAATCATCAGTCACTCGGTTTCACGTAGCCTGTCAACCCGAGGGCTCCCTCTCGGCCGGCCGGAAGGGTGGGCTTCCTCGTCAGGAAGGGTGGGGCCTGCCAGCGATCGGCTCCCTGGCCCATCAGAAGCGCCCGAGGTCAGCTCAGGCCTTTCCGCCAGCCCCCAGGCCTCCCGCACTGAGAAGCTCCAGCGTCTCTGAGCAGAGACGGGCTTGTTTGCTTTCAGTTTGGGGGCCGCACCCGGCGTACTCAGGCCTCACTCCTGGCTCTGTACTCAGTGGTCACTCCTGGCGGTGCTTGGGGGACCAGTACATGGGGTGCCGGGGATCGAACCCTGGTCGGTATATGCAAGGCAAGCGCTCTACCCCTGTACTGTCTCCCGACTCCAGCAAAGAAGTCTCGGGGCAGTTCCCTCTGCCTGTTGAATGGTTTTGGCTGTGGACTGACATCATCCTCACTATTGGGTGATGTCATCCTGACTACCAAGTGAGGTCATCCGGATCACTGAATGTCATTATCCTGGCTATCCCCAGTGACATCATAATGACCATTGAGTGATGTCATCCTGACAGCTGAGTGACATCACCATGGCTATTCAGTGACGTCATCCAGGCTATTAAGTGATGCCATTCTGGCTGTTGAGTGACACCACTATGACTCTTGAGTGACCTCCTTCTGGCTATGACTGATGTCACTGTGACTTTTGAGTGACATCATTCCGGCTGTTGATGACATCACCGTGCCTCTCGAGTGGCCTCATCCTGGCTATTGAGCGGTATCCTGGCGAGGGGGTCAGCACCTTCCTCTGCTCACTAGTCAGTCCCTGCAAGGGAACTCCCGTTCCCTTCACAGAAACGCTTCCTCTGAACATCCCTCTCGGAGGGAAGCGAGTGCTCTGCCCAGGTGCACTCAAACAGCATGGCTGGTGCCCACAGCATCTGTGTAGACACAGTGCCTGGCAGCTGTGCCGTTGCCTCAGTCCCGGGAGAAATGCTAGGAGGACCAGACTGAATGGAAGCTGAGGCTGCACATGTGCATGGTGTGTGCGTGAGTGTGTGCATGAGTGTACATGAGTGTGTTTGCATGTGTGCCTGTGTGTTTATTAGTGTGTGAGCGTGTGTGCATGTGTTTATTAGTGTGTGTATGTGTGCACGAGTGTGCAAGCATCCATATGTGTGCATGTGTGTGCGTGTGCAGGTGTGCAAGTGCATGTGAGCATGTATGTGATGCACATGTATAAACGTGTCCATGGGCACGTGTGCATGTATGCATGTGCATGGTTGCCCATGTGCACACTTATATCACTGCACAGTTGTGTGTATCAGTGTGTGCATGGGTGTGTGTGCACGTGTGTGTGTGTGTGTGCACATGCCTGTGTGTTCTTCCCCTGTGAGACGGGAGTCGGTCTCACGGCCGACAGTGCTGGGCGCCAATGGCAGCCGACTGTGACTCTCTTCTGGGCAAACTCGAGCCGAAGAGTTTTCAGTTGCGGAGAGATGGCTCCCACCCTCCTGTGTGTCATGGGACATTCCAGGGCTCTGGGCTGAACGAGCAGGGGCCGGGGCGCTTGCCCGCACCTGCACCCACCCCGCGGGGTCCTGGCCATGCCAGCCGCCGGACGTCACGCCCTGTCCCTCGCAGGTGGAGATCACGCTGCAGGACATCAATGACAATGCCCCCGTCTTCCCGGCGGACACGCTGGACCTCACGGTGGAGGAGAACACGGGGGACGGCTCCAGGATCATGCAGCTCACGGCCTCGGACGCCGACGAGGTAGCGGCCCGAGGGAGGGTGACTCGGGGTCCCGTGAGGTGGGCGTCCAGCCGGCTGCCAGGGCGCAGCTCGCCTTGCCCCGGAGTGAGGGCCCAGAAGGACTTTTCCGGAAGCACAGGGCAGGGCATCTTCTCGGAGGTGCTGGCGCCCTGTGTCCCTGGTCAGCCTCAGACCTGGCCACTCGCTGGCCGCAATGGTGTCGGGAGGGAGAGGCCGGGAGCTCGGGCAGCCTTGCCAGGGCCGTCACTGCACAGTCCTCGCTCGCTCCCCCCAATCAGGACCCTTAATGAATGAGGGCTCCCAGCGAGACAGGCGCGGGGGGGGGGGCTGGGCCAGGTCAGCCCTGAGTCCCCAAACCCGCCGCCCCGGGCCCGGCCTCTCCCTGCCCTCTGGAGCTCCAAGGGTCTCCCTCCTGTGGGGCTTTTTCCTGAGTACCGATCCAGACCCGCCTGTGGGGTCCTCGCCAAGCAGCTGCTCAGCCCGCTTGGCCGGGCGACCCCCGCTGAGACCCCCCTCCCACAGGGCGCCAACGCGCTGGTCACCTACAGCATTGTCAGCGGGGCCGAGGACAGCTTCCGCATCGACCCGCAGTCTGGGGAGCTGCTGGCCACGCGGCGGCTGGACCGCGAGCGCCGCTCCAAGTACTCGCTGCTGGTGCGGGCGGACGACGGCGTGCAGTCCTCGGACGTGAGGGTCAACATCACGGTCAGCGACCTCAACGACCACGCGCCCAGCTTCGCGCGGCCCGTGTACTCCTTCGACGTGCCCGAGGACACGGCCCCCGGTAGGCGCCGTCGGTGTGAGGACTCGGCGCTCTGGGCTTCGGGCCTCCGGCGACCCGTCTTGCCATCTCCGCTTTGCTGATTTTGCGCGTTGATTGTGTGTTGGCCACACTGGCCATGCCCAGGGCTCCCTGCTGGGCTGCCTGGGACCTGCCTGTCCCTCGACTGTCTCCTGGGTCGTTTCCACCTGGTGTCCGCTACTGCGTGTCCAGGCAGGGAGGAGATGCCGGGAACCCGTGCAGGACGCGGCACGGGACAGGGGTGGGGGTCCATCTCTGCAGCCTTGCTCCCCAGAAGGGGCCTGGGCAGGGCAGGCTGCTGTGGTCCCGGCTCCAGCAGGCGGCCCGCAGCCGGGTCAGGAGCTGTGAGGCAGCGCGTCCTCGGGCCCCCATATAGTGGGCCCCCGTGCCCACCTGCCGCTTCCTGCGTGGACGTGTTCGAGCTTTGCCGCCACGACTGGGCCCTGTCCACTGTAGGTCTGCCCCGGATCCAAAGGGACCAGCCCAGGGTGCCCGGGTGGGGCCCCAGCCTCCCCCCCACCCCTCATAGTCCTGCCCCCCTGCATGGCCCAGGGCTTGGCGTGGCCCCGGGCTCCCATGCGTGCTCCGAGGGCTCCGTTTCCTCCGTGAGATCCGGGAGACGGGGGTGGGGGTGGGGGGTTGCTGACCCCAGCCCACCCCAGGTGGTGCTCAGAGCCTTCCTCGGGAGCCCGGTTCCAGCGTGGAAACAGAAGTGGGTGTGGGTGTGGCATGCCTGGGTGCACGCGAGCACACGTGTGCTTGCATGTGCACACGTGTGCGTGTCTGGCGTCTGCCCTCGGGTCTCCCTGAGCCGACCCTCATCCCGTCCACTTCGAACGTCTCTCTCTTCCCCGCAGGGTCCCTGGTGGCCGCGCTCTTGGCCACGGACGAGGACGCGGGCGTGAACGGGGAGGTGACCTACGTGGTGAGCGAGGACGACGAGGACGGGACCTTCTTCCTGAACCCGGTCACGGGCGTCTTCAACCTGACGCGCGCCCTGGACTACGAGACGCAGCAGTTCTACGTGCTCACGGTGCGGGCGCAGGATGGCGGGGGCCAGTCGGCCTCCGTGCGGGCCTACTTCAACGTGCTGGACGCCAACGACAACGCCCCCGTGTTCAGCTCGGCCACCTACCGCGCCTCCCTGCTGGAGAGCCTGCCCGTGGGCGCGGCCGTGCTGGCCCTCAATGCCAGCGACGCCGACGACGGTGGGTGCCTCCCCTCCCCCACGGGCGCTCGCTGCCTGGGCTGGGCTGAGGGGGTCTCTGCCCTTCCCCCCGGGGACGAAGAACTCAGTGGTGCCCATGCAGTGCTGGCTCGGAGCAGGCCGGCACCGCTGTCCCCAGCTGCCTGCATAGCCGGGGGGAGGTGTGGCTGGTGGACACAGGCCACGTCTGCGGGTTTCTGTAGCTCAGAGGGGTCGCTCGGAGGCAGAGGGAACCCCCTCTCTGGTCAGAGGGACGGGCAGCGGCTGCTGACCGCCTTGCAAGGCCAGTCTGGATTGGGGGCTCGGGGTCTTCCCCTAAGCAGGTGAGGGTTTGGCTGAGATCGAGACCCCTACCCCGGGACCCTGTGTCCAGTGGCGGCTTGCTGCTAAACCGTTCAGTGACTTGCTTCCCGGACCATCCCAGACCTGATGGGCCGTTCCCCACGCCTAGCCCGGCCCCTGGCTTGTGAGCGGACGTGTGAGGGGTTCCCATTCTGCTCCCTCCTGCAGTGAGGGGCCAGTCCGGGGAGGAAGGACCCAGGGAAGGACAGTGAAGACGTGACTTCCTGCCCAGGCCTGCAGCCTTTCGGCCGGCCTTTAACTGTGCTGCTGAAACAGTCCGGCCAGCCGTGTTTCCCATTGTTTTGGGTTTGAATATCTTTATCAGGGACTTCCTGGACCTTGGCCCCACTGGGCTGACAGGCTCCTGTTCTCTCTGAGTTTCAAGGCTAACGATAAGCCCACACCCTGTGACCTTGTGGGTTGGAGGCTGCAGGCCCGAGGCCCGCGTTGCTCCAACAATGGTCCTCGGGCTTTATGGAGTTAGAAGTCCTTTTTAATTTCTCACCCAAACTGGGATACAGCAGCAACCCCCCTCCACCCCGCCAAGGAAGAAAGTCTATCTGAAAATAATGCGAACATTTCCCTCGCTGAATCCTGGGTCTCAGACTTCCACACGTACATTTAGGACTTGCAGTCGAAAGTTGTTTAAGAAAACAGCCGATGAAACTTTGCTGTTTTCACGAGGTCAGAATTGTGTGTGATGACTTTCCTGAGATCACTTAAGAAGCATCAGTTACATCAAAGGCCGGAGGTAGCCCAGTGGTGAGATGCTTGCCTTACGTGGCTGACTCAGGTTTGACCCCCAGCGCCCCGAGTCCTGTCGGGTGACCCCCGGGTGCAGGGCCAGGAGTCAGCCTTGAGCACGGCCAGGTGTGGCCCCAGCGAATGGGGTGTTCTGTGGAGTGGGACCCCCAGGAAATCGTCCTGGCTTGGGTGATCCGTTTGTTTTTACGGCAGGAGCAAATCCTGGCCCTGCTCCCTGGGCACATCTGGGCATCTCTGGGGCCCAGGCACAGGCCTGTGTGGCCCAGGGCAGCTCGGAGCCTGGGGCTGGGTTAGGGTCTGGCACGTGCCCCAGGGCCACACACCTCCCTGCTTCTCCCCGCGTGGCAGGCGGGAGGGACCCTGGTCTCCCTGCAGCACGTCCCGAGTGTCCCCTGAGCAGCGTGTCCTCCTGGGACTGTCCTCCTGGGAGTGTCCCGCAGGAGCTGGGCCGCCCCAGGCCCGTCCCGGCAGAGCCTCCCCTCCCGTTCCAGGTGTCAACTCGGAGCTGGCCTACAGCATCACGTCGGGGGACAGCCTGGGCCAGTTCTCGGTGGACCCGTCCGGGCAGCTGCGGGTCCTGCGGCCACTGGACCGGGAGACCCAGTCCTTCTACAACCTGGTGGTGCAGGTGCACGACCTGGCGCGGCCGCCCGCCCCCCGACTGACCAGCACCGCCCAGGTCTCCATCATCCTGCTGGACGTGAACGACAACCCGCCGGCCTTCCTCTCGGCCCGCCTGACCTTCGTGCCCGAGAACACGCCCGTGGACACGGTGGTCTACCGCGCCCAGGCCGCGGACCCCGACAGCGGCCCCAACAGCTACGTGGAGTACACGCTGCGGCCCTCGGACGCCCCCTTCAGCGTGGGCACCATCGACGGGCAGGTGCGGCTGACCGGCCAGCTGGACCGCGAGCAGGTGTCCAACTACACGCTCACGCTGCTGGCCACCGACAAGGGCCAGCCGGCCCTGTCCTCGTCCACCGAGGTGGTCGTGCGGGTGCTGGACGTGAATGACAACAGCCCCGCGTTCGCCCGGGCGTCGTACCGCGTGGAGGTGCCCGAGGACACGCTCACAGGGGCCGACCTGGTGCAGGTGTCAGCCGGCGACCTGGACGAGGGTGCCAACGGCCAGGTGCGCTACAGCCTCGTGGCCGGGGACCCGCACCAGGACTTCCGCATCGACTCGGTCACGGGCGCCATCTCGGTGGCCAGGCCCCTGGACCGGGAGAGGAGCCCCGAGTACTCGCTGACCGTGCAGGCCTCCGACCGGGGCAGCCCCCCCCGGACGGACACCTGTACGGTCAGTGTCCGGCTGCTGGATGTCAACGACTTCGTGCCGGTGTTTGAGCTCTCGCCCTACACGGTCCACGTCCCCGAGAATCTGGGGACCGCGCCCAGGACCATCCTGCAGGTCAGTGGGCGAGGGCAGGTGGGTGCTGGCCCAGTCCCTGCTTCTGTCCCTGCAGGCGGAGGCCTGACAAGGTGGCCGTGGCCCAATGCCGTGCTGGGGTGTGGGCTGAGGGGGCAGCTGAGAGTGTAGCTGAGGGTTGTACGACCATGGGTGTTTGGCTGTGGGTGTCGGCTGTGGGTGTTCAGCTGTGAGGTGTACGACTGTGGGTGTACGCCTGTAGGTCTGTGCTCTCGGCTCTGTCCTGCGGGCTCACCCTGAGGAGCAGGGCCTGCTCCTGCCCGTCAGCCAGGGTGCCTGGAGCCCGTGAGGGGCCAGGGCTGCTGTGGGTTCTCCGTGTCCAGTGCGTGTGCTTCCTGTGTTTGGTGGGCGCCAACGCGGCACTTGGTCCCCGCTGTCCGTGACGTTGGTTTGGGCTTCTCTTGCATTTCACGGAGGTCCGTTGCACGCTCGCTCCAGGTGCCCTTGAGGCTGACTGGGCTGCCACTCGCCTTCAGCCACGTCTCCGTCCGCAGGTGGTGGCACGGGATGACGACCAGGGCGCCAACGGCCAGGTCTCCTACACGCTGGTGGCCGGGGGCCCCGCCTTCACGCTCTCGGCCAGCGGCGAGCTCCGCGTCACCCAGAACCTGGACCGGGAGGCTGAGGCTCTCTTTGTGCTGACGGTCACAGCCACAGACGCAGGTACGTGTCCACCTCTCTGTCCACCGGCGTCGTGGAGGGTCTTGGGTCACCTTCAGGCAAGGGTCGGGGGTCCCGGGCCCTGAAGCAGGTGCCGCCCCCCCAGGGCTGGATGGTGACTGCTGTGTCTCGCTGAGCCGAGGACGAGCCTGCAGAATGTGGGGGCGTCCCGGGCGAGGTCAGCGGGAGCCATGGCCCCTCGGGGGCACGTGCAGCTGTGGGTGGGTCAGTCACAGTTGCTCAGGGCCCTGGGACTCCTCTGTACAGTGCTCTGTGGAATTGTTTGTGCACCAGCCTTCAGACTCCCCATGAGGGTGTTGAATACTCAGTCATTAGAGGAGCTCAGGACTGTGGAGCTCCTCCTGCGTCCAGTCCTGCTCAGCACCCAGGCCCTGAGCACTGGACCGTGAGCGCCACGCCCAGGAAGCCCAGCAGACATGGGGGCAGGAGCCAGCTTGAAACTCCCCGGGACCCCCAGCCGGCCCGGCTGCTCAGGGGGCTTTCCTGGGGGTGGAGTGACAGGGGCAAGGACCAGTCCTCAGCGCAGGGACCCCACATGGGCGCCCGGGCGTCTGCCAGATGGCGCCTCTCCCTGGGGCACTCACGTCTGGGTGGCAGCCTCGGACAGGTGGTGTAGACGCCGGCGTGGATGCAGCGTGGAGACAGGGTGGGACGCCCACAACACGGGCGTGAGTGGACGGTTCTGGGTGGGCTCAGAGATGGGCCGGGCTGGCGGCCGGGGTGAGTATGGGGCAGTGGGGCATGTATCGGGCAGTGAGCATGTACAGGGTGTGTCCGGGGTGGCAGGCCCTGGAGGTCAGCCCGGATCTCCCAGCCCGAACTCCGCAGCTTGGGCCTTGCAAGGCACCTCTGCTGAGCTAAGGCCGGCTGGGGTCTGGGAGCAGGGTCCGAGGGCGCCAAGACCTGGCTTCAGGCGTGCGGGTGGTCTCCCCTGCGTACCCGAGGTGGCCCCTGAGCCTCGCCTGAGGCCCTGCGTTCATTCCTCCTCAGTCGTTCCTTCCCGTCGCCTCTGGGCTCCTGTGCAGCGGGTGGGCGCCGTGGGCTTCTGTGCCAGCTCCTGCACCCACTGGGTGTGGCTGTGGGGAGCAGTGTGGCCGGGCCCTGCCTCTCGTCGTGCCCACGGCAGAGGCGGCCGGGTGAGGCCTCGGGGTGAGCTCGCGCAGCCGTGGGGCAGTGGTGCCAGCGTGGCTTGCGGCCCTCGGCAGTCTCCAGCGAGCGGCCTCCCCATGGGGCCTCCTCCGGGCTGGCCCTGGCAGCAGCCATGCAACAGGCACCTGGAGGTGAGCACGCGAGGTGGCCCTGGGGTCTGCGGGCAGGGCTGGGCCAGGCCGAGCTGCCAAGGGGCCACGGGAGGGGACGGGCTGAGGGAGGGAGGCTTGGGGCCGCCTGCCCTCCCCGCCCATGGCCCGCACCGGCCCTCCTCAGTTTCTGCTCCTCAGACCTGGCTGGGAGTCCCTGCGGGGGCAGTGAGCGAGGGCCGAGCTGTCTGCTGTTAATGCTCGCAGGCCCCCGCGGCCCGCCTCCTGGCTCCCCCCAGCAGCCCTCTGGGCCCTCCCCACCAGTCTCTGCCTCGCACAGGCAGCAGTGGGCCGCTGGGGCCGTTCTGACTCCCACCCTGGGATTGTGGGCGCTCCGGCCGGGGGTCCGAGCCCCTTCCCTCTGCGGTGCCTCCCCACTGCGGTCACCTCCTGGCTGTGCTGGGCCGAAATGGCCACAGGGCCTCTTGGAACCAAGGCGGCGGCACCGCCCTGGGCCCTGTTCCCTGGGACCGGCCGCCAGGGCCCACAGTGGGGTAAGGCCCCCTGGGGCATGCCCTGGGCCTGGCCCGCATGCCACCCGCCTGGTCCCCAGCACCATGGTGACCGCTGGGGCTCTTGGCGGCACCCAGAAAATGGGAGGCTGATCTGAGCCTCTGTGGTCAGCCCCCCACCTCCACGACAAACCCTGCCCCCCGTGTGGCCGCTGGGTATAGGAGGAGGCTGGCGGCGTGGGTGGCCTCGCACAGTTGCCCGCTTCCTGCAGGGAGGAGTCCCGTGCGGACTGCTGGGACTCCCACAGGCTCACGCAGGGGCTGAGCGCACCCCGCTTGCTGCCCGGGGGGAGCCGCTCACCCTGGGCTCGCCCCCAGCCCCAGAACATCCAGAGGAGACGGCTCGGCTGGGTCCCTGGTCCGGCCTGTGTTCCCGCCTGCAGCCGCGCCTGTCTCCGGGCGAGGGGCCGGGGGCCGTAACTCAGGGGGCCGGGCCGGGGGGTGGAAGGGAGGACGGGAAACTATTTTTATGCAGAACTGGGTTTTTCCTCCCAGCGGCACGAAAACTCCCATCGCAGAGACGGACATAAATAACCGTTTTACGGTCAGGAGCATTGGGGCCGCGCCAGGCGGGTTGTTTGGAGACAGAGGTTTACTGGGGACGGGAGAGGGCCCAGCGGGGCCGGCCTGGCAGGGCAGGGGCGCCGACCACAGGGCGCTGGTCTCCGCCCTGCACCGGCAGCTCAGGGCCGCTTCTCCCGCACCCCTGCTGGCCGCCCCCGATGTTGCTTTCTGGATGGCTGCAGGAATGTTCCAGAACGTTCCCTCTGGGCGTGTGGAGGTCACTGAGTCGGTCCTGACAGTGGCCGCCCTCGGGCCCCCAGGGGCCGTCCGCACACTGGCCGCGTCTCGGTATTCTTGCTGTGTCCAGGCACCGTGGGGCTGGCGGCTGAGGCGGGGACGCAGCCGTGGGTGGGGGGCATCTTGCAGAAGCCCCTTCCTCTCAGCGAGGGACCCCGGCGGTCGGGCGGCAGCTGTGAGGCTGCTGTCCTCGCTCGGGGGACCCGGTGGTAGGAACGAGGTTCTGGGAGCGAGTGCGGATCCCCGTTCCCCGGGGAGGTGGGGGCGTGGGGGCTTCTGGGGGCACCTGGGGGTTCTGTTTGCCGTGGGAGTGGTGAGCAGTCGGGCCCAAGCCTGCCCTGTGCACGGTGCAGCTGAGGACGGCGGGTGGTCGGAGGCGCAGGGCAGCCCCCAGGTGTGGCTGGAGACCCGGGAGACGCAGGGGACGGTGGCCAGCTCGACACTGCGCTCGTCTCCTGACGGCGAGGCTGTTCTCTGGTGAGGGTCATGTGCAGCGGTCCAGCCGTGTTGTGGGAGTAGAGCGCCCAAGGAGGCTGGACTGCCGGCCCAGCGGCTCCCAGGGCAGCTCTGTTTGGACGGGCGGGCCGGGCTCCAGCGGATGTGGCCCCTGGGAGCGTCTCACACCGCGCACCCGGGGCTTGGGGCTGAGCGGGGCCCGGCCGCCGTGTCCCCAGAGTTGGGGCTCTGGGCGGGGAGACGGGCCACGCTCAGCAGGACCGTCTCCAGGACGAGTGTGGCCACCCCTCTGCTCGTCTCCCCGTCTCCTGGACCAAAGCGACACAGAGATCTCTCCCGTCGGCGGGACCAGAAGGCCCAGCGAGAGGCGCCGGAGTGCGGTTCTCACCCTGAGGGATGGGCCCCACTATTAGCATTTCTAATCAAGGACATTTATCATCCCGAAGGCGCTAATGAACTTCATTCTCAGGCAGGGGCTGGAAATGGCTTTTTAATGGAGAGAAAACACGGCACTTTTGCAAAATTCAATCCGAACGCCCAAGGGCTGATCTGCAGCCTTCTCTCCCGCTGGGGCTGGTGCCACGGAATCGAGGGGTCCCTGTCTGTCCTGGGGCTGAGTGGAGTGGGGCGTGGCCAGCAGGTGGTTCCTGTCTAACGGGGTCAGGCCGGTGGGCAGGACAGTGTCCATCTGAGGGTGCCACTTCGAAACACCCCGGGAAGATGGTGTGATGCCCGCTTGGTTTGCGGGAAAATGCCGGCGGGTGTCCGAGTCTGATGAAAGTTGATGACTTTTGCACCAGGCTCCGTGGCCCTGTCCAGCGGCCTGGGTTATCTCAGGCAGCAGCAGTCCTGTCTGGTGGCTGTGCGCTTCGGACTGGGCTGGCAGCGGGCGCTGCCGTTGGTGTGATTGTCTCGGATGAGGATTTTGTTTCTCAGACTGGTGACTGGCCACTGTTTCACTTCCTTTCTTCATCTGCAGCCACACTCCCAAATCATTTATTTAAGCCACTTTTCTTTGAGTTAGTTCCTCATCAGTAGGAAAAGTTCCCCCTTCATAAAATTTCATTTATATGGCTTTAAGATAAAAATAGAAGAATGGTTTAACTTCCAAAATGCTAATAGCAAGAATTTCCATCTTGTTGCCCAGATTTAGAAATATGGTCGGATAAGGGAGCTACGTTTCACTTCGTGGAATAGTAATTCTGAGTTGTTGTAGGAGACCCAACTTTGAAATGGGGAGAAAATTCGAGCTGTCACATTAAAGTAAATGTTTATATCCTCTAACAGACAAACATTCATTTTAACTGAACGTATCCTGATCTCACGGGGAACTGCTCGTTGTCAAAAGTCGTCCCATTTGGTCCTGCTAGAATCGACTCCTTTGTGTAGCAATAATCTAGGATCATTATTTCATGAAACATGTAACTTAATCTTCTCTGTAGGCAGGAGGGCGGAGGAGGACGGGGCTGGAATCCGGCCCGGCCTCTTGGCCACCAGACTTCAGTGCTGTGAGGAGCGGGCTGGAGCGACCGCACAGTGGGGAGGGTGTTGGCTGGCCCGTCATGACCCACGGGGTCTCCTGAGCCCACCAGGAGTGACCCTGCCTGAGTGCAGAGCCAGGAGTGAGTCCTGAGTGTCGCCATGGGGGGGGGGGGGCAAACGAAGTCGTAGGACGGTCCCTCCTGGCGTGGGCTGCGTGAGGCAAGTTTCAGTGACGTGCTCAGAGCGCACGGGCCCTGTCCCTGATGTCACTTGGTTGTGTCACATCTCAGTGTCACTGTCATCACATTGCCGAGTCGCTCCTCAGGCCCCACTTGACACACGGCTTTGGCGAGTGAGAAGCAATCGGGCGTGCCCCTGAGTCGCACCCAGACAGCAGGAAACACCAATATCGCTGAGGCGAGTGTGCGCCTGGCCTATAGGGGTGACACCGGCGTTGCTGAGGTGTGTGCTGGTCTTTCGGGCTGTTGCCAGCCTTGTTGAGGTGAGTGGGTGCCTGGCCCATAGGGACATTGCTGAGGCGAGGAGGCACCTGGTTTATAGGGTGTGTTGGTAAGGCACCGCAGTAGTGATGGATTCTGCACTCGGACACGGTGGACGCGGTGACCTGTAGGTTGGTGACTGTATGAAAATGCTGCAGACACACTATTTAAGGACCCGGATTCCGGTATACGCACATCTTCAAAGTGGCCACCAAAGGGTTGGTTTTCGGCACTACGTTAGTGTGTGGCTTATCTAGCACGAGAAAACATGTTCACTGCATCGACCAGCTCAGCTTCTCTTATGTCTTCGTGAATATGGGCCTTGTGATCTGCCAACTTGGTCCGTGTTGCTCTCAGCAGATCAGCATCGTAGGGAACTTCAACATGAGTTTGTCGTCTGCTTTTGATACTGTCACAAGGTCTTGAAAAAAAGCTGGGGACACAATTTTGTACAAAAAGATAAATCGAAAACAACTTTTTTTAAAGTCACGAGCCAGCGTCGAGAAACACAGCTGCTCCCTGACCAGGCTTCCTCGGTGTGTGCTGTGGTTCGTTTAAGACACCACGGAGCTTAGACCAATGCTGTTGCATTTTTTCCCATTTTATTTAAAACACTATGCATTTCCTACTCTTTTGACAAATTTTAAAAGGTACTGGTCTCTTATGTGTGTGTGTGAGAGTGTGTCTGTGTGTGTATATGTGTGTCTGATATTGTGTGTGTGTGTGTGTGGCTGGTTTCCACCCAAATGCTTGTTAGAATCACAGGCATTCTTGGTTCTTTGGCTGTGTCAGGAGATCTCTATCGGATCATGTTTATTTTATGTTTGTGTCTGTGTACATGGAGTTATACAGCGCACACGTATAATATTACAAAGTGAACTTGGAAATTCCTGTGCGAGCTTTCCCGAGACCCCCTGGCCCCCGAGACTGGGACCTTCATCGTGTGCTTCTTTCCCCTTGTCTGCTCGCTGGGGGTCCCTGGGGGTCTGCTCGCTCCCCCACCCGCCTTCCCGACCGGCTCTGGCTCCCATCAGCCCGTCCCAGCCGAGGGGGTGCACTCTACCCTGCCCGCCAGAACCGACGTGATTCATCATCCTCTGATCCTCCTCGCTAGACCAGGCCCCTCAGGCGGCGGCTTCTTCCCCGGGGACGGGCTAGCGGCCCCTGCGTGAGCCGCAGCTCTGCCGGACTCCGCCCTCTGTCCGCGGCCAGCGCTGGCCCGGATTCTCCTGCCGTAGGGGCAGGTTCGGTTCTCTGGACCTGCAGCTGTGTGAGCACCAGAACAGATTCCCGTGGCCAGAATCACAGGGTGAGTCAGGCCAGGCCCGGGCTGTGTGTCCGGGGTTCTACGGCGGTGTTGGCACTCCCCATCAGCCACGTCCCCAGACACGCACGGGCCACTCGGGGTCGAATTTTCTGGGTCACGGCGTTGGTCAGGCTGAGCTGCAACCCGAGGGAAACTTGCTCTACATTGTGGGTGCCCTCCTGGCTCTGTGCTCCGCCGTCACTCCTGGCGGTGCGTGGGGCCCGTGGGGTGTGGGGAGCTGAGCGTATGGCCCGCGCCCTCGGCAGCCCGGGGCCTCTCAAGAGTTCACGGCCGGGCGTGGGTGCCCTGCTGAGACAGACGACCTGTCGGCCCTCCCAGCTGCGCGTGTGGCTCTCAGCTCGCTCACTCGGCCCTGGTGCAGTGCCTGCAGGCAGGGTCCTCGTGTGAAGTGCTCACGGGGTGTGTGTGTGCAGGTGCAGGGTCAGTCCGGGCAGTTTCCAGAGAGCCGTGTGGCGCGGCTCGCAGAGGACAAGGAAGGGTCACGCTGGTTCTGGTGGCACTTCAAGGTTGGCAGGGTGAGACGACAGATGAGCATTTGGGCCCGCAGCCTGCAGAAGGTTCCAGAGTGAAGTGGCGCCTGGCCCCCTTTGACGGGAAAGCTTCAGCGAAGGGGAACGGGGGTGACTTTATGGGAAGGAAAGTGATATCTAACTAGAAAAGGAGCACGAAGGCTTTGCTTTATTTTGGACGAGGTAGTTCAGTGACCCTCAGTCTTGCATCGCCACAGTCAAAATTTGACGACAGATATGCAGGCAGGCGGCTCCCGGGTCAGACCCCACCACATACTGTGCTGACTGGGAGCTGTCCACGGTGGGGCCCAACCCCCTCGGCAGGAAGTAGAGGTGGCTGTTTCCCTCTGGCCAGGCACAGGTGGGGGTTGGCAGCCTAAGGTCATTGAGTTTTCACCTGGAGACAGGTGTGGTTGGTTCAGAAAGGGGGCTGGCCGCAGAGAAATACGGCTGCTGGTCACGTGCCACCAACCGTGCAGGGACAGGGCGCGTGTACGGCCCGGGGGCACACTAGCCTGTGCCTGAGGTCGAGAGCTCAGTGCCCTGCGGGCATGGCGGTTGGTGTCGCACGCTGGCTGTGTGCCCTGCGGGAAGGGGCGTCTTGCTGTGGGAGGGAGGGCGGGCGGCCCATACAGGCTGCCCAGTCCGCTCTGTGCCTCCCGTCTAGTGCTGAGTCGCTCCTCTGCCCTCCAGGCTCCCCTGCCCTCACCGGGACGGGCACGGTCAGCGTCATTGTCGACGACGTCAATGACAACGCCCCCGCCTTTGCCAGCGGCACCTACCACACCCAGGTCCCCGAGGACGCGCCCACGGGGACAGACGTGCTGCTGGTGGGCGCCTCGGATGCAGACGCGGGCACCAACGCCATCGTCAGGTTGGTCCCCGCGAGGAGCGGGCACGGGCCCCGGCTGCCCACCAGCCCCGGGGCTTTCAGGAGCCCCCAGCATGGCATGTGCCCTTCTTGTTGTGGGGCCACACCGGGCTGTGCTCGGGTCACTTGTGGCGAGCTCTGGGACACAGGGCAAGTAAGTGGTCATCCCGCCGTCCTAGCTCTCCACACCGAAGATGGTTCTTGTTTGTGTTTTCAGAAGAATTTGTTGGGGGGACATCTGGTGGTGCTCCGGACACCCCCTCCCCGGGGTCGCTGGGCCCCTCTGTCGCTGTACTCACCCTCCTGCCTCAGCTCACTCTGTGGTGTCCAGCACTGGGCGCCGCTGGACCTGCTGACCATGGCTCGTAGATGCCGTGGCTGCGTGGTGTTCCTGGGGGCTGGTCTAGGGGGACACAGGGGCCTGTGTCTGCTGGTGGCCGCGCAGGGTTGGGGGAGGCCCCCGGGGCTGCCCCTGACTTCTGCCTCAGGCCACCCCTAGATCCTCAGCCTCAGAGTTCAGCCCGAGGCAGCAGGGGGCGGGCAGCCGTGGACACGCCCCCTGCCCTCTGCTCCAGCTACAGGCTCCTGGGCGGGAACTCGCAGTTCTCCATCAACCCGGCCACCGGGCAGCTCATCACCAGTGCCCTGCTGGACCGGGAGAGCCGTGAGAACTACACGCTCGTGGTGGTGTGCAGCGATGCCGGCACCCCGGAGCCGCTCTCCAGCTCTGCCACTGTGCAGGTGACGGTGACCGACGTCAACGACAACCCCCCCAGGTTCCAGCACCACCCCTACGTCACCCACATCCCAGCACCCACGCCTCCAGGTAACCAGCTGCAACTGTATCGTGGGAGACACCAGACTTGCCCATAGATGCTTCGACACACACACACACACGCCTCAGATGCCTCAGGTACTTACACACACACACCTCACGCTTATACACACACACACACACACACACACACCTCAGACACTTCCACAGACATGCCTCATATGCTTTCATAGCACAGCGGGTAGGGCGTCTGCCTTGCACGCAGCCAACATGGCCGACCCGAGTTCGATTCCTCCGCCCCTCTCGGAGAGCCCGGCAAGCTACCGAGAGTATTGGATATGCCAGACACAGTAACAACAAAGTCTCCAATGGAGACGTTACTGGGCCCGCTCGAGCAAATCGACGATCAACGGGAGGGCCTTTACCTTTACCTTACACACACCTCAGACACTTGCAAACACACACACACACACCTCAGACACTTCCACACACATGCCTCAAACGCTTACACACACATACACACATGCCTCAGATGCTTATACACACACATACACACACACACCCCTCAGACACTTTCACACACGTACACACATATGCCTCAGATGCTTATACACACACATACACACACACACCCCTCAGACACTTTCACACACGTACACACACATGCCGCATACGCTTTCACATACACACATCTTAGATACTTCCACACATATACATGCATATGCCTCAGACACTTACACACACACACACACACCTCAGACACTTCCACAGACATGCCTCATATGCTTTCATACACACACCTCAGATACTTACACACATACACACACACACACACACCTCAGACACTTCCACACACATGCCTCAAACGCTTACACACACATACACACACACACCCCTCAGACACTTTCACACACGTACACACACATGCCGCATACGCTTTCACATACACACATCTCAGATACTTCCACACACATACATGCATATGCCTCAGATGCTTACACACACACACGCACACACACACACACAAACACTTCAGATGCTTCCACATACACATGCCTCAGACGTTTCCAACATGCCTCAGATGTTTCTGCATACACGCACGTGTCTCAGACAATTCTACCCACGTGCCTCAGACACTTCCACACACATGTGCCTCGGACGCTTTCATGAGCACACATGCATGTCTCAGAAGCGTCCACGCCCACGCACGCCTCTCTCGGCTGCTTCAGTGCACTCGTGCTGCAGCCCAGCCAGCAGGTCCTTCCCGGGGCCCTTGGCGGCCCTAAGAAGGCGTTTTCCTCAGAGAGGAATCTGAGAAGCGTCTTCCTTCCCAGACCTCTGGTGTTCAGGGCGTGCAAGTCAGTCCCTCCGGTGGGACGCGGCGGCTGTGTCTCTGTGTTCCTGAGTTCTGCCCAACAATCCCAGCGACTGCTCGCTGGGCCCAGGGCCTGTGCCTCGGGTGGGGGGTGGTGTGTGCGTCGCTGAGTTGGGGCTACTTTCGCCCGCTCATGCACAGGCGACTCCTGAATGCCCCTGGGAGTTTCGAGGTCCTCAGGGGGCTCTGGGAAAGGAGAGTTTCACCTCTGTGCCACGTGGGTTTTCAAAGCGTTTGGTGAATAATTCTGGTGATAGCGGTTACTGTTATTATTACCACTGCTCTCTTTTTGCTGCTGTGCTCGGTCTGCCTTTTTCTCCTGGTCACTTGGTGGAGCGTTGGTGAGTCACGTCCACAGGCGCTGTCTCAGCTCCAGCACCTCAGCTGGGCTCGGTGCTCACTGCACCGATGAGCTCAGGCTCCCCTCAGCCAGCACCCCTCGGGAGTGCTGGGCCGTGCTGCCCCCTCCCGCTGTCTCTGGTCCAGAGCCCGAGTCCCTGGATGAGCTCGTCACAGGCCCGGCGGGTGCGTGCGAGGTGGGTGCCCTGGCGGGGCTGGCCGTGTCCCGGCTGACCGCGCTCCTGTGTTGCAGGCTCCTTCGTCTTCGCCGTCACCGTCACGGACGCCGACACCGGGCCCACGGCCGAGCTGCACTACTCGCTGTCCGGCCGCCACTCGGAGCACTTCCACATCGACCCGCGGCGGGGCGCCATCACGGCCGCCGGGCCGCTCCACGGGGCCTCCGAGGTGACGCTGTCTGTCCACGTGCGGGACGGCGGCCCGTCCCCCAAGACCGACGCCACCACCGTGACCGTGCGCTTTGTCAACAAGGCCGAGTTCCCCAAGCTCCGCGCCCCCGAGCACACCTTCCTGTTTCCCGAGAGCCAGCGCGTGGGCACGCCGGTCACCACGGTGACGGGCTCGTCCTCCCGGGCGGAGCCCGTGTCCTACTACATCGCCAGCGGCAACCTGGACGGCTCCTTCCACATGGACCAGCTCACGGGGCAGCTGTCCATCGGGCGGCCGCTGGACTTTGAGCGGACGCAGAGCTACGTGGTGTGGGTGGAGGCCCGCGACGGGGGCTTCCCCCCGTTCTCGTCCTACGAGAAGCTGGACATTGCCGTGCTGGACGTCAACGACAACCCCCCCACCTTCCGGGAGGACCCCTTCGTGGCGGAGATCTCGGAGAACCTCTCTCCCCGCAAGGTGCTGACCGTCTCGGCCACCGACCGGGACAGCGGCCCCAACGGCCAGCTGGGCTACGAGATCGTGGGCGGCAACGAGGAGCTCAGCTTCGCCATCCACCCGGGCAGCGGGGAGATCCGCAGCATGCGGCCGCTGGACCGGGAGCGGACGGCCCGCTACGTGCTGACCGTGCGCGCCTCGGACAAGGGCTCCCCGGGCCGCAGCGCCTCGGCCCAGGTCATCGTCCACGTGCTGGACGAGAACGACAACGCACCCCGCTTCTCCCAGATCTTCAGCGCCCGCGTGCCCGAGAACTCCCCGCTGGGCGCCACCGTCACGCGCGTCACCACCTCGGACGAGGACGTCGGGGCCAATGCCGTGAGCCGCTACTCCATCGCCGACCCGTCCCTCCCCTTCACCATCAACCCCAGCACGGGCGACATCGTGGTCAGCCGGCCCCTGGACCGGGAGGACACCGACCGGTACCGCATCCGGGTGTCCGCGCAGGACTCGGGCTGGACGGTCAGCACGGACGTGACCGTGGTGGTGACGGACGTGAACGACAACCCGCCCCGCTTCTCACAGCCCTCCTACCTCCTTGAGTGCCCCGAGCTGCCCGCCGTGGGCTCCCGGGTGGCGCGGCTGTCGGCCAGCGACCCCGACGAGGGCCCCAACGGGCAGCTCTTCTACTACATCAAGTCGCAGTCCGAGTTCTTCCGGATCAACGCCAGCACGGGGGAGATCTTCAACAAGCAGCCGCTGAGGTTCCAGAACGCCAGTGGCCCTGGCAGCGCCCACGCCAACCGGCACAGCTTCGTGGTGACCTGCTCTGACCGCGGCAGCCCGGCGCTGCTCAGCGAGACCACGGTGACCGTCCAGACGGTGGACAGCAACGACCACGCGCCCCGCTTCCTGCAGACGCACTACTTCACGCCGGTCGCCAAGACGGTGGCGGTGGGGACGCGGCTGCTGCAGGTGGTGGCCCGGGACGAGCAGGACTTCGGGCTCAACTCGGAGGTACAGTACTTCTTCGCCGACGACCAGCACCTGGGCAGGTTCCGGCTGGACCGGCACACGGGCTGGCTGTCCGTCGCCGCCCCGCTGCTGTCCGACCTGGACCGCCCCTTCGTGCTGCCGGTGACGGCCCAGGACCGGGGCAAGCCCCCGCTGTCGGCGCAGGCCACGGTGCGGGTCCTGGTCACCGAGGAGAACCACCACAGCCCCGAGTTCCCGCAGCGCCACGTCAGCCTCACGGTGCCCGAGAGCCAGAGCGTGGGCACGGCCCTCAGGACGGTGTCGGCGCGTGACCGGGACGCGGGCGCCAACGGCGAGCTGCGGTACAGCCTCGCGGCGGGCAACGGGGACGGGCTCTTCTCCATCAACGCCTCCACGGGCGTCCTCAGCCTGGCCCGGCCGCTGGACTACGAGCTCAGCCCGCAGCACGAGCTGACCGTGCTGGCCACCGACGGCGGCTGGGCAGCCCGGACGGGCTCCTGCCGGGTGACGGTGCATGTGGTGGACGTGAACGACAACGCGCCCGTGTTCCAGCCGGCCGAGTACAGCCCCAGCGTGCTGGAGAACGCGCCCAGCGGCACCACCGTGCTGCGGCTGAACGCCACGGACGCCGACTCGGGCGTCAACGCCGTGACCGCCTACGCGCTGCAGGCGTCCGACAGCGACCTGTTCGTGGTGGACCCCAACACGGGCGTGCTCACCACGCAGGGCTTCCTGGACTTCGAGGCCCAGCAGAGCTACCGGCTGACCGTCAAGGCCTTCAACGTGCCCGACGAGGACCTCTGCGGCTTCGCCTCGGTGCTGGTGCGGCTGCAGGGCGCCAACGAGTATGTGCCACGCTTCGTGTCCCGGTCCTATGCCTTCCAGGTGTCGGAAGCCGCGCCCCCGGGCACTGTGGTGGGCGAGGTGTTCGCCAGCGACCGGGACCGCGGCCCCGACGGCGAGGTCTACTACCTGCTCTTCGGCGCCAGCCGCAGGAAGGGCTTCCGCGTGCACCCCCGCTCGGGGCAGCTCCTGGTGTCCGGCCGCCTGGACCGCGAGAAGGAGGAGCGCGTGTCCCTGAAGGTGCTGGCCAAGAACGCCGGCAGCATCCGGGGCGCCGACGTGGACGAGGTGCTGGTGAACGTCACGGTGCTGGACGCCAACGACCCGCCGGTCTTCAGCCTGCCTGTCTACGCGGTGCAGGTCAGCGAGGGCGTGCCGCCGGGCACCCACGTCACCTTCGTCAGCGCCTTCGACTCCGACTCGGTGCCCAGCTGGAGCCGCTTCTCCTACGCCCTCGGCGCCGGCAACGAGCGCGGCGCCTTCTCCGTCCACCCGCAGACGGGCCAGATCACCGTCACGGCTGAGCTGGACCGCGAGACGCTGCCCGTGTACAACCTCACGGTGCTGGCGGTGGACGCGGGCTCACCCCCGGCCACGGGCAGCGCCTCCCTGCTGGTCACCCTGGAGGACATCAATGACAACGGGCCGCAGCTGCTGGTGACGGAGGGCGCGGTGCTGGAGAACCAGCGCCCCGGCACGCCGGTGCTGAGCCTGCGGGCCAGCGACCCCGACCTGCCCCCGAACCAGGGCCCCTTCTCCTACCACCTGCTCAGCGGGGGCCCCGCCACCAGCTACTTCAGCCTGAGCCCGGCCGGCGTGCTCAGCACCACGCGCGAGATCGACCGCGAGCAGATCGCCCACTTCCGCCTGGCCGTGGTCACGCGGGACTCGGGCGTGCCCCAGATGTCGTCCACGGGCACGCTGCTGGTCACGGTGCTGGACCAGAATGACAACCCCTCGCAGCCGCGCGCCGTGGAGATCTTCGTGCACTACTTCGGGGCCTCCTTCCCCGGGGGCGTCCTGGGCTCCGTGAGGCCGCTGGACCCTGATGTGCAGGACACCTTCCACTGCTCTCTGACCGCGGGTGTGCCCGGCGTCTTCAGCATCCCGGCGGGCACCTGCGACCTGAGTGCGCAGCCCCGCGCGGCCGACGGTGCCTTCGACCTGGCGGTGCTCAGCAGTGACGGGCTCCACGGGGCGGTCACCACCAGCGTGCGCGTTTCCTTCTCCGGCTTCTCTAACGCCACCGTGGACAGCAGCGTGCTGCTGCGGCTGGCCGTGCCCAGCGTCGGGGACTTCCTGGCCGACCACTACCTGCCCTTCCTGCGCGTGGCCAGCGCCCAGCTCCCTGGGCTGGGCACGGCTGTGCAGCTCTATGGCGCCTATGAGGATGGTGGCCGGACCTTCCTGCTGGCCGCCGTGCGCCGGGGCCCTGGCCAGTACGTGAACCCCAGTGGGGCGGCCACCTTCTTCCAGAGCATCAAGGACGCGCTGCTGCGGCAGGCCGGGCTGCAGGTGGAGGCGGTCGACCACGAGCCCTGTGCCGTCCGCCCCTGCCGTAATGGGGGCAGCTGCCAGCGCCGGCTGGCCGTGGGCCCCGCGCTGCAGACGCACCAGAGCCCCCCGGTCATCCTGGTGGCCCCCCAGCCGCTGCCGCCCTTTCTGTGCCAGTGTCCACCCGGCTACACGGGCGAGCACTGTGAGACGGACATTGACGAGTGCCTGCCGGGCCCCTGCCACAACGGCGGCTCCTGCCACAACCTGGTGGGCGGCTTCTCCTGCAGCTGCCCCGACGGCTTCACCGGCCGCGCCTGCGAGCGGGACGTGAACGAGTGTCTGTCCAGCCCCTGCAGGCACGGCGCTGCCTGCCAGAACTTTCCCGGCTCCTTCAGCTGCGCCTGCAAGGCCGGCTACACGGGTGAGTGGGCGCGGAGGGCCGGGCTGCGGGGGTACGCGCTCGGGCGGGCGTGAAGTCTGGAGGGGGGCCCCGGCTGCAGGGGTGACGTGAGGTCTGGGGGAGGCGCAGCCGGGAGGTGAGTCCGGGCTGACATACAGCAGCGGATTTGCTTGGTGGGCCTTGGGGTTTGGGAAGACGGGAACCGCACACCTGCGTGCACCTGTCTGCTTACTCTTGGATATCTCTCCCTGCATCTGGTCTCCATCCGTTGTCCATCTGGCATCCACCCATCCATCCATCCGCTTATCCATTTATCCATCATCCGTCTGTCGTCCATCCGTCCGTCCGCCTGCCCACCCACCCACCCATCCATTCATCCATCCATCCATCATCCTCTTATCCATCTGCTCATCCATCCATCCATCCATCCTTCCATCCTTCCATCCTCCCTTCCTCCCTTCCTCTATCCATCCACCCATTCATCCATCTGCTCATCCATCCGCTCATCCATCCATCCGTCCATCCATTCATCCATCCATCATCCTCTCATCCATCCGCTTATCCGTTCGTCTGTCCGTCCATCCATCCATCCATCCATCCACCCGTCCGTCCATCCGTCCATCCTCCCTCTATCCATCCACCCATCCATCCATCTACACATCCATCCATCTGCTCATTCATCCGCCCATCCATCCATCCACCCATCCACCCGTCCGTCCATCCTCCCTCCCTCTATCCATCCACCCATCCATCCATCCACATATCCATCCATCTGCTCATCCATCTGCTCATCCATCTGCTCATCCATCCATCCATCCATCCATCTGCTCATCCATCCACCGATCCATCCATCCATCCACCCGTCTGTCTATCTGTCCGTCTGTTCGTCTGTCCACCCACCCATCCATCCATCTGTCCATCCATCCATCCATCCTTCCGTGCCATCTATCCATCCGTCCATCCTCCCATCCGTCCGTCCATCCTCCCTCTATCCATCCACCCATCCATCCATCTACACATCCATCCATCTGCTCATTCATCCGCCCATCCATCCATCCACCCATCCACCCGTCCGTCCATCCTCCCTCCCTCTATCCATCCACCCATCCATCCATCCACATATCCATCCATCTGCTCATCCATCTGCTCATCCATCCATCCATCCATCCATCCATCCATCCATCCATCTGCTCATCCATCCACCCATCCGTCCATCCATCCACCCGTCTGTCTATCTGTCCGTCCGTTCGTCTGTCCACCCACCCATCCATCCATCTGTCCATCCATCCATCCATCCATCCTTCCGTGCCATCTATCCATCCGTCCATCCTCCCATCTGTCCACCTGCCGCCCTCCCCACTGTCCTCTTCACGTGTCCATCGTAGCCGTCTCTCCGCTTGCCTGTCAGCAGCCTCTGTCACCACGATTCTCTCACCTGTCTCTGTAACTCCGTGTCGCTGTTGGCCTGTCTCTGCCTCCGTCAGCATCCCCTGTCCACCCTGCACCCACCATCCCGTCACCCCGCAGTCTCGCTCAGCACCACATCCACACCCGTGTCCACATCAGCTTCTGTCTCCGTGTAGCGTCCTGCCCAGACTGTCCAGCTGGTTGGCATTCTACTGACTGACAGATAGTTCCTCAGGGGTGTGTGTACGTGTATGTTTGTGTGTGTGTTTGTGGTGTACGTTTGTGCATGTATTTGTGCGTGTGTTTTTGTGTGTGTTTGTGAGTGTGTGTTTTTGCTTGTATGTGTTTGTGTGTGTGTGTTTGTGGATGTGTTTGTGTATGCGTATGTTTATTTGTGCTTGTGTGTGTTTGTCTTTGTGTGTGTTTGTCTTTATGTGTGTTTCTGTATGTGTTTGTGTGTTTGTGCATGTGTGTGTTTGTGTGTGTATTTGTGCTTGTGTGTGTTTGTATGTTTGTGCTTGTGTGTTTCTGTATGTGTTTGTGTGCATGTGTACTTGTGTATGTGTTTGTGTGTATTTGTGTGTGTGCTTGTGTGTGGCATGTGTTTGTTTGTGTTTATGTGTGTGTTTGTGTGTGTTGCATGTGTGTGTGTGTGTGTGTGCTTGCCGTTCACAGGTGTGAGGCGGGGAGCTGTCTGTTCCCCTTCCACACGAGCACCTTGGGTCGTGCTGCCGTGTCCGGTGGAGCTGGCGGGGCGGGATGTCGAGGGCTCTGCAGTTGGCAGCCAGCGCCCCGCAGCCTGAATGAAGGGGCCGGGCTGGGCACGTGGAGCGCTGTCTGGGAACAGTCTCCCTGGGGTGACGGGGATGAGGAGCACCCGCCTGGTGGGGCGCCCGGCTTGGCAGGGCTGTGCCGGGTCGGCAGGGCCCTGTGCAGCAGGGCAGGGAGGGCAAGGTGAGCTTCCGAGCACCAGCCGGGCGCCTGCCCTTCCTGCGCGGGCGGGTCACCGTGGCTCTGCGTGCCGTGGACTGTGGCTCCGGGCGGGTTCCGTCTCCTCCCTGAGACTCCGGCCCCGCCCCCTGCAGCTGGAGGGGTCGACCCCACGGGGCTGGGCGCCCGGTGTGGCATGTGGGGCTCACCCGCTGGGCGGGAGAGGGCCAGGAATCTGGGGGGAGGGGGCACAAGGTTTCTCGGCCGCCTCCCACCGAGGGTATCTAAGTTAGGGATGTTCTGGGGGCCACACCTGTGTGCTCGGGGCTGACTCCCGGCTCTGTGCTCAGGGATGGCTCCTCGCTCTGTGCTCAGGGCTGACTCCTGACTCTGTGCTCAGGGCTCACTCTTGGCTCTTTGCTCGTGGATGACTCCTGGTTCTGTGCTTGGGGTTGACTCCTGGCTCTGTGCTCGGAGATGACTCCTGATTCCATGCTCTGGATTGACTCCTGGTTCTGTGCTCAGGGCTTGGGGCTGGCTCCTGGTTTTGTGCTTAGGACTGACTCCCGGCTCTGTGCTCGGTGCTGACTCCCGGCTCTGTGCTTGGGGCTGGCTCCTGGCTCTGTGCTCAGGGCTGGTTCCTGGTGAAGGCTCAAGGGGCCTTCTGGGGTGCCGGGGTGGAACTCGGCATGGCCCCGTCTGCAGCCAGCACCTTCTCTGCTGTCCTCTCTGGCCTGAAGGGACCTGGCCCTGACCGGTCCTCTGACAGGGCCCAGAGGGCTGCGTCCACTGTGGGGGTACTGAGCTGACCCAGGGGACAGGCCGGGCAGTGCTGGCGTGTGCGTGGAGGGCGGCCTGGTGGGGGCCGTGGTTTTGCAGTCGGGGGGGGGGGGGGCGGGATGTGATGGCTCCTTGACGTCCGGTGTGTCCCGGGCCGGGCCTGGGCGGGCGTCCACGGCTTGGCCTGAGCGCCCCCAACTCTCTGCAGGGAGGACGTGCGAGGCCGCGGTGGACTACTGCGAGGGCAGCCCCTGCTTCAACGGCGCCTCGTGCCAGAGTGGGGTCGACACCTACCACTGCCGCTGCCCCTTCGGTGAGTGGCCGCATGGCTGTGGGGCGGGAGCTGAGGGCGTCGAGTCTTGTGCTCTCCATGGGCCGGGGAATGTCCGGGGGTGGCTGGGTGTCCCTGGGAAGGGTCAGCACCGTGAGTGGCCGTGCCTGCAGGCACCTGGCCCTTCCTGTGCCCTAGAACAGGGCCGGGGCCGTGCGCGGGTAGAGGAGGCCTCTTCTGCCCAAGTCCTGGGGGTTCAGCTCTGTGTTGGGGTTTGCATCTGAATGCAGCCCTGGGAGGCCACGCCCCTGCCGCCTGGCCTTCCCCTGACGCCTGGGTCACCGCCACAGTGCGCCAGGACGGAGGAGGGGGTGGCCATGGGCTCTGTCCATACAGCCGTCCCTGCCGCGAACAGGCCCGGAGGCGTCCCGGGGCCTGCAGCTGGAGACCACGGGAGCGTCTCACCTGCATGGCACTAGGAGGGCACAGTGGGGGAGGCCTGGCCTTGCACATGGCTGACCCTGGTTCGATCCCTGCCAACCCCCAGGGTCCCCTGAGCCTGCCAGGAATGACCCCTGACTGCGGGGGGCCTACAGAACACACACAAGATTTCATCTTCAAAGATTGGAAGTGACACATTGTTTTCCCCCAGTAGACCATTTTTCAACTTTTTTTCTTTAAATCTGGTTATTCTGCATTTTGGGCTGGAGCGATAGCACAGCAAGTAGGGCATTTGCCTTGCACACAGCGTACCCGGGTTCGATTCCTCCACCCCTCTCAGAGAGCCCGGCAAGCTACCAAGAGTATCCTGCCCGCATGGCAGAGCCTGGCAAGCTACCTGTGATGTATTCGATATGCCAAAACCAGTAACAACAAGTCTCACGATGGAGACGTTACTGGGCCCACTTGAGCAAATCGATGAACAACGGGAGGGCAGTGCTACAGTGCTATTCTGTATTTTAGAAGTCTATGATATATAAATTTAACATAATTATTCATGTTCTTTTAAAATACAGAATTTTACGTACTTTTTTTAACATACATAAACCATATACCTAATTAAACATTGAATAACACAATTAGATAAATAGACAAGTGTGTCATGTAACACGTACTCCAATAACTGGCCTTTCTTTAACTTCAGTTAATTATTAGAGGCAGTAAATCTTGTGCATGATTGCGCGTGTCCTGTGTCTACGTGAGTGTGTGTGTCTGTCTGCCCTGTTCGCTAGACGGGGCCTTAGCAGACAAGGGAGCGATAACCGGCAGGACTTTGTCCCACGCATCTTCTCGGCCACTTGAGCAGAAAGAGCCCGTGGAGGTCGGATACGTGGACAGACCTGGTGCTCAGAGGGTCTGACCCTCCGTTTTGGCCGTTCCCCTTGGTTCTGGGACTGTGGGCGTTTTGAATACTCTCAGGCACGGCTAGGTGGGCTCCTGTAGCCAGGGGGAGTGACCCGCAGATCAAAGGTGTTTACAGGAGAGCTGAGTCCAGAGGGCTTGGAGCCTTGAGCGCTGCCGACGGGTTGGCCTGGGCTAACTTTCCAGTCACTTACTTGGGCTCCTAATGTTTGTGGGAAAAGAATGTTGGCGTCACATCACTGCCATCAGTAAGACTCACTTTCCGAGCTTGAAAAAGTACCAGTACAAACAAGGAAGAATGCTGATTTTAGAGAAGCAGAAAATGCTTTCAAAGTAGCAGCTATAAATCGTGCCCCAAAGAAGAAAGAGATCAAACCTTCAGATGCCGATTTCCCTCAAGAATGTGTAACACAAGCTTTGCTCTGTGTGTGTGTGTGTGTGTGTGTGTGTCCCCCAAGTTGTGCTCAGAAGCTCCGAGGGCCCCTCCTGTTGATTTGCTGCCAGGGCCACGGATAAGATGCTGCCCAGGTGTTGGGGATTATCTGAGGCCTCCAGCTGGCACTGCCAGGGGCCCACATGGTGCCGGGGATTGAACCCGGGTCAGTCACATGCAAGCAGGTGCCTTAACCTGACCTCACAAGCACTGGTTTTCAAAGCTAAGGCAAAGGTCACCGTCCTTGGTGGAGTGGAAATCGTGCGTGTGGTGCTGGGCGGGCCGGCCCCGTGGGTGATCCACGTGGGATGTGGCTGAATGAACACTAACTGCGGCTCAGCGCAGCCGGCCAGAGTTGGCGTGATGGTGAGGACAAGGCTGGGTGGCAAACCAGGGCACATTTGCTGTTCTGTTGTTGTTTTGGGGCCCCACTTGGCTCACTCCTGGCTCCGTGCTCAGGGACCACTCCTGTCGGTGGTCAGGAGCCATCTGTGGTGCCAGGATCGAGCCCAGGTCAGCAGTGTGAAAGGCAGGCACCCCACCCGCTGTACGCTCTCCCCAGCCCAGCACAGCAGAGCTGTTGAGTGATTGACAGGCTCGGGAAGCTTAGCAGGCTAGCTCTTGAGGTGACCCCTTTCCACGTGGCCCCTCCTGTGTGGACGTGGACCCCAGGAGCGCCCACGGGGGCACAGCCTGTGTAGGCTGCCCGTGGCGTGCGTCAGCGGGTGTCCCCCGGCCAGCCCTCCTCTGCTTCAGCTGGTTTGTCTGCGAAGGGGTGAGGCGTGTGGCGCGCTGAGCCTGTCACGGGCGGCGTGCGTGGTTCCGAGTCCCTCCCGCAACCTTGGCCGTGCCTGAGCCCTGCTTCCCTCCGCAGGCGTCTTCGGCAAGCACTGTGAGCTCAGCAGCTACGGCTTCGAGGAGCTCTCCTACATGCAGTTCCCCAGCCTGGACGCTAACAACAACTACATCTACATCAAGTTTGCCACGATCAGGAGCCACGCCCTGCTGCTTTACAACTACGACAACCAGACCGGGGACAGGGCTGAGTTTTTGGCTCTGGAGGTTGCAGAAGAAAGATTGAGGTTTTCCTACAACCTGGGCAGTGGCACCTACAAACTCACCACCATGAAGAAGGTGTCCGACGGCCTGTTCCACACGGTGATCGCCCGCAGAGCTGGCATGGTGAGTGGATGCCCTCAGCGTGGTCTCTCAGGCGCCAAGCGGTGTGCGGGTGTTCCTCAGCATGGCCCCCTGGGCCCCGTGTGGTTAGAGGGTGCTCCTCAGTGAGGTCTGTCAGGTTTCATGTGGCGAGTGGATGCCCTCAGCATGATCTGTTGGGTCCTGCGAGGTAAGTTGGGCCCCGGGAGGTGAGTGGATGGTCCTCAGCGTGGTCCGTTGGGTCCTGTGAGGTGAGTGGATGGTCCTCAGTGTGGTCCGTGGGTCCTGTGAGGTGAGTGGATGGATGGTTCCTCAGCGTGGTCCGTTGGGTCCCGTGAGGTGAGTGGATGGTCCTCAGCGTGGTCTGTTGGGCCCCATGAGGTGAGTGGATGGTCCTCAGCATTGTCCGTTGGGTCCCGTGAGGTGAGTGGATGGTTCCTCAGTGTGGTCCGTGGGTCCTGTGAGGTGAGTGGATGGTCCTCAGCGTGGTCCCGTTGGGTCCCGTGAGGTGAGTGGATGGTTCCTCAGCGTGGTCCATGGGTCCCATGAGGTGAGTGGATGGTCCTCAGCATGGTCCGTTGGGTCCCGTGAGGTGAGTGGATGGTTCCTCAGTGTGGTCCGTGGGTCCTGTGAGGTGAGTGGATGGTCCTCAGCGTGGTCCTGTTGGGTCCCGTGAGGTGAGTGGATGGTTCCTCAGTGTGGTCCATGGGTCCCATGAGGTGAGTGGATGGTCCTCAGCGTGGTCCGTGGGTCCTGTGAGGTGAGTGGATGGATGGTTCCTCAGCGTGGTCCGTTGGGTCCCGTGAGGTGAGTGGATGGTCCTCAGCGTGGTCTGTTGGGCCCCATGAGGTGAGTGGATGGTCCTCAGCGTGGTCCCGTTGGGTCCCGTGAGGTGAGTGGATGGTTCCTCAGCGTGGTCCATGGGTCCCATGAGGTGAGTGGATGGTCCTCAGCATGGTCCGTTGGGTCCCGTGAGGTGAGTGGATGGTTCCTCAGTGTGGTCCGTGGGTCCTGTGAGGTGAGTGGATGGTCCTCAGCGTGGTCCTGTTGGGTCCCGTGAGGTGAGTGGATGGTTCCTCAGCGTGGTCCATGGGTCCCATGAGGTGAGTGGATGGTCCTCAGCATGGTCCGTTGGGTCCCGTGAGGTGAGTGGATGGTTCCTCAGTGTGGTCCGTGGGTCCCGTGAGGTGAGTGGATGGTCCTCAGCGTGGTCCCGTTGGGTCCCGTGAGGTGAGTGGATGGTTCCTCAGCGTGGTCCATGGGTCCCATGAGGTGAGTGGATGGTCCTCAGCGTGGTCCATTAGGTCCCGTGAGGTGAGTGGATGCCCCTTGGTGTGTCCTGTTGGGCCCTTTGTGGCTCTACACGCTGAAGTGTGGCTTTGGGGATGCTTGTGCCGAACCTCGTGGTTTCTGTGTGCTCTGAGTAGTTCTGTGAAGCGACAGGAAGGAGGAAGCTCTCTTCGGGGCCATGCCAACTCTGCTGTCTGCCCGGAACAGGTTGGGGGACATGTTAGGACAGAGACTTTCGCACATTTCTTATATCTTCTTCGAAGCCAAGTAAAAGCTGAAGCTGGCTGGCTATTTTCTGACAGAATCTCTATTTCCTTCCAGAACTGAAGAAGCCATTTAGAACAGGGAGGGGACCTTCCCCACAGTCAGTGGCTGGTGAGAGGGGACAGTTAGTACGTGTTTGGGCCCTTTGGCATCTCCACTGTCCAAGCTCTTCTCAGACAGCCCAGCAGCGGCCAAGGGCTCCCCTTGACCGTCTGGTGCAGAGTCACTGTGTGTTCATGGAGCAGCAGTCTCTCCAGGCGGGGGGAGCACGCAGCCTGCCTTTTCCCTGTTGGCGCTGGGTGGCACTCGATGCTGATTACCCAGTGTCTGAGCTCTCCCCGAGCCCAGTGGCCGTCTGTGCTCTTCTCTGGGCGAGTGTCTGTGTGTGTGTGTGTGTGGGGGGTCTCTGTGTTGTTGGGGGGCGGGGCCCTCCTTGACGGCACTCCCTGGAGAGTCTGCTCCTGGCAGTGCGCAGGGGGTCATGCAGGCCAGGGTCCACCCCAAACCCCTGCGTGCAGGGTTCCCTCTCGGCGTGTTACCTTTGGGCCCCGATGTTGTGCTGGTGGGCTCCCGACACTCTGGGATGCCATGGACAGTGGCCGGGTGCAGATGCCCGGTGTGTGGGACAGTGCTCCCCGCTCAGTGCTGCGTCTGTGTTTGGCAATGCCAGTGCCTTATTTAGGACAGAAGCTTTTCAGTTTGATGTCGTGGCATTTCTTTTATTTCTTTTATTTTCTGCATCACTGGCATCTCTGGGCCCGTGGTGGGTGTTTCTCTGTTCCCGTCTCTGTGTTTGGTAAAATTGTCTCTAGCCTCTAGGACTTTACTCCGTTTTCAGTAACCATTGTACGGGGCTGGAGGTGGCATTCCGGTTTGGTAATTTTTCATGTGATTGACCAACAGTGGTGTGCTGAGGAGGCTCTCAGTACCCCCTTCCATCAGAAACCCCAGTACCATGTACAGTGGCATGGGAAAGATCAAGTGCCTATGAACCAGCTGAGCAAAGGAGGCGAAAGACTTTGCAGTTAAAAACTGCAAGTTTCTATTGAAAGGAAAAGAAGAACGCCCAATAAAATGGGAAATCCTTCCTGTTCATGGATTGGAGGAATCAGAGTTGTTAAAATGACATTCCTACCCAAAGTATCTAATAGAGTCAATAAAATATTATTAAAAATCCAGTCCACAACTGTACCTTATGGTGTTTCACTGATAAAAATTAAAAAATAAATGAATAAAATATTATTAAAAATCCCAGTGGACATTTTCAAGGATATAGAATGATACTGCTAAGCCTTGGATAGCATCCTTCTCCTCACCCTGAATAACCAGAGCAATCCTGAGGCAAAAGAATTAATACGCCTCATGTTTTCCAACTTTCTACTCTGCAGCTCCAATAATCCAAAGGGTATTGAAATCAAAACAGAAACCCAGACCAGTAGAATAGGGTGGAGAGCCGAGAGAGAGACTCCCATCTCCATGCATCTCCGTCGGTCAGTTCACTCGTGACAAAGAAGGTGGTCTTCGGATTTCAAGCTTTCAAAATCATATCTAATCTAAAATTTGTATTTTGTCTGCAATAGGAACAGAATTGTTCAAAATGTTAAATCATGTATGAAGAGCAATTAGTCAGAAGACCAAAATTAATTCTCTGAAATGCTCTTCAGTAAAAAAAAAAACCCAAGATTTTAATGATAGATGGTTTGATCTCTGACCTCATGAAGGCTTGGAAGCGTTCACATTGGTAGTGTGGCTCGTTAGGACACACTGAAAGCGTGGCACATTGGAAGCGTGTCCCGTTAGGGCGCTCTGGCAGCGTGGCCTGTTAGGCATTTGGAAGGCCGGCATAGCATACATTCTGAACTGGTCAGATGAATCATCGTTTGACGGGGAATATTCTGCATGGCTGTGGGATCGTTTTGTTGTTAGAAGCGATGAAGCTGCCGTGGAAAGAGGTTGGGGATGGTTTTACCATCATGTCACTCATTTTCTCTGTAACTAATTTTAAAGACAGAATCGCTGCCTCTGTCAGTACGGATTTCACAGACGCACAGGACAGAGGCTTCCTGCGGTCAACTCCCGGGCAACTGTGCACGGAGCTGCCCCCTGCACAGAGAGCCGCCTCCCTGCTCCTGGGGGCACTTTCAGTCTGCTGATTCTGAGATAGCATTGGACTCGAGGCTCTTTGCTCTGTGGCTCTAAGACACTCCAGAGCACCCAGCAGCTTTAGAAGAGAAATGACAGCCATTTCCCCTCCCTGGGGCGGTACTCGCCCTCTCTGTTCTGGCAGCGGGTGGCGGCACCCGCATGGGGCAGCTGGGGTGTGGGTGAGGGGGCAGGAAAGCGTCAGAGCCTGTCCGGGACCCTCGCCCGCTGACAGTGCCAGCACTGGAACCAGCCGCTTGTCGTGAACCACAGCCCTACGTGCTTATTGGCTCAGAAGACCAGGCCAAGGGGGAGAGGAGTGACCAGAGTTGTGACTTGATGCATTTTGAGTCTTTAAACAAAACCTGGATCAGCTGTTGGTAGCTCGGACACAGAGCCCGGGGACGTCAAGTGCAGGTGGTCGTCCAAGATGGGCAGGGTGGCGGGCAGCAGGCTGGGCTCGTATCACGGCGTCCCCAGCTGGGCCGGCACCGAGTCTGGCGTGGGTGACCAGACGGGACCCCACGCTCCGGCTTCAGTAGCTAGTGGCTGTGAGTCCAGAGACTCTGACTTGAGCCAGACTGCGGGTAACTCAGTGTGTCAGCTGCCACAAGGTTGTGACTCCTGGATCTCGGCGTGTCCTCCCCGATGTGCCCCAGCCCAGGGCTCCTTTCAGAAGCCGAGGACGTGGGGCCTGCACCAGCCTTGGGGGGGCCTAACCGGGCAGAGATCAGAGATGGGACATTCCCCACTTCCAGCCCCAGGGCGGGGCCAGAGTGCCGAGGGTCCCGTGAGCCCTCGCGGCCACCTGCCCTACCCTTTGGGGCCTGCTGGGAGCAGGACGGAGTGGGGGCCCAGCGGGGGCGACCAGTGGGGAGAACTCAGGTCAGAGGGGCCACAGTCGCCAGGCTGGGGGCCCTGACTGGGCACAACCCCGTGGTCAGCGCTTCTCAGAGTGTCTCCCACCCCCCCATGGGCAACTGCTACCTCGGCCCATTCTTGACTCCAGGTCCCAGGGACCGTGCTGGGGACTGGCAAAGCTATTAAGCTCTTGCCCAGACAGAGAGAAGCATCTCAGCTTACACGCGGCTGGCGGGAGATTCAGCTGTCCAGGGAGGCCCGTTGAGCTCTGGAAACGGACCTGCAGAGGCTGCGGCTCAGATGCAGCCCATCCTCCCGTTCCATCGCCAGAGCTTGAACTCTTTCGGGCGTCTTCTTCTGAGTGCCTTACTCCAGCGAGGGGCACGCTGTACCCGGGAGGCCCCCCGCCCCCGACCATTCTTGGGGGGGGGGGTCCTCGGATTGTACTGAGCGTGACCACAGAGAGGAGTGCCAATGTGTGCTCTGGAAATGCATGGCCGGGAACCGTGCTTAAGTCACATACTGCACAGATAGCCCGGCTGTCTTCGTACAACCCACAGTGGCGTCGAGTTGAATGAATGTCCCTTGATTATAGATCAGCGGGAAAAAATCATTTGCTGCGGAAAGAGATGATGAGACAGGTCATGAAGGTTTGAGGCAGAATCCAACTGCGTATGTTTGCTGTGGAGTGTGTGAGGGGTCACTGTCTCCCTGGAGTGTGTGTGTGGGGGTCACTGTCTCTGAGTAGTGTGTGAGGGGTCACTGTCTCCTGGTAGTGTCTGAGGGGGGTGGTCACTGTCTCCTTAGAGTGTCTGAGGTGGGGGTCACTGTCTCCCGGGAGTGCGTGAGGGGGTCACCCGAGGAGCTCTCATAGCCCCTTCGGAACCTCGCCAGCCCTCACCTTAAGAGGGAGTCACAGCACGGTCGCTCCTGGACGCAGGCGTCTCTGGTCTGTCCCTGTGACAGTGCACGATGGTGCCTGGTCGTGTGTGTTGCCTCACATGGCCCAGGCACACCTGGGGGCGTCCCGGCGCCACCCTCCCTCAGGGGGCGGGATGGGTCCGTTCGGGTGGGGCCGCCGCCTGACGAGGGGCTGGTGTCACCCTGCAGGCCGCGTCCCTGACGGTGGACTCCTGCTCTGAGAACCAGGAGCCGGGCTACTGCTCTGTCAGCAACGTGGCCTCCTCCGACGACTGGTAAGGAAAGCGTGGCCTTGATCTCTCACGGGCGCGGGGAAGGAAATCGGGGGCTGCAGATCTTTTTGCTTAAAATCTAGGGTGACTTTGGCCCTTCCTGGTGCGTCTCGTGCTTGGAAAGGAAGAGCCGATTCCAGCGCAGCAACACCCAGGCAGGCACAGAACTGAGCAGGGTGGCCGATAGGCTGCGGCTGAGCCTCTGCTTGCCGAGGTGCTGTGAGCAGCCAGCAGGGGCCAGGTGCCCGGGGAGTGACAGGGACACCCCCCCGCCCCCGGCAGCCTTCTCTGCGTGAGGCAGTGGCAGGGGCCCACAGATAGTTCCTAGGAGCGGCTCACGCTGGCAGCCAGCGTCTCCCCCTCAGAGACGGAAGAAGTTCTCCTGAGACAGCAACAGAGAGGGCTGACCCGGCAGCACCCCGGCCCACTCACGCCCGCCCTCTGCTCTCCCACAGGACGCTGGATGTCCAGCCCAACCGTGTGACGGTGGGGGGCATCCACTCGCTGGACCCCATCCTGCAGCGGCCAGGCCAGGTGGAGAGTCACGACTTCGTGGGCTGCATCATGGAACTCGCGGTCAACGGGCGGCCGCTGGAGCCCGGGCAGGCCCTGGCCTCACAGGGCATCCTGGACCAGTAAGCGTCACTCTCTCCTCCCGTGCTGGGGTTGCTTCTACTGGGCCGCGGCATCCTTTACCCAGGGAATACTCTTGAGCATCCTAGACACACATTCGGAGAACAGAGAAGAGAAAGAGAATGACAGTTGTCAGAAAAGCATCGACGAATTTAAGCCTCTTAAATACCAGATGTGCAGAAATGATCAGTCTAGAAACCCCAGACACAGCATATCAGAGAGGAGAACTACATCCCCTTGACTTGGATTTCTGTCCATCCCATCTCTGATAAACTAAGACAGAGTGAGTCTTAACACGGCAGGCTCTGTCCACGTAATTCATCCCTGTAGAACAATTATCTGTTTGCACAGTATATGCAAATGGGGCCTTCAAACAAAATCACCATCTGCTTAGGATGAAACTTGGTGATGAAGGAAGGGCCGACCATTGCAGCCTGGTAGAGACTGTAAAGACGGCTGGCATGAAAATGATTATTCAGTGTTCATATTAACTTGAGAAAGATGGAAAAGGAAACTCAGGTGGAATTAAAAGGGCCAGTCTTAAGTTAACCAATCGTACGTAATTTGTTCTCAAAAACTAAGGACACGCACAGTTCCTCATTCCTTTCTGCTCTGAGTGGACGCAGGGCAGTGGGCAGTGGTCCCCGACTCTGAGAAAGTCCAGATGCTTTTGTGGCTGCTCGTCCCGGGGGGCTCAAGGGGACCTTCGGTGCGAGCGTCCTCTGCCTTCTGCAGTCTGAGGAAGCCTGGGGTTCTTTTGGAGTCCCTTGGACGCCTTTCTCAGCTAACTCGGCCGCGCGCCAAGCGGGGACTGTGGCAGGGAGATGGCTAGACCGTCTGTCCCCGGAAACCGGGGGACTAAATAGTTTTTGAATAGCCACATTTATGACCACAGCAGCGTGTGTCTCTGACAAGCAACAACCTGACCAGTTGTCAGCCCTAGAAATCGTTCTGCTTGTTAGACATGCACGCCTGGTCATGAATCCTGGCGTTTCCGGCACATTCTCTCTCGGCTCTCTCTACAGTGGACGCAGCTAGTCGCCCGGTCCAGCCGTGGCTGCGCTAGTTGTTTCTGGTTTCGTTCCCATCTCAATAGCCAATAGGTCAATAGATCAACACATTTTGACATGGATTTTTGCCTGTGTCTTCACTTGAGACTTCCAGAATGGAAATGGCCAAGTGCTCAGCATTCCCTGATGTTTCTGCTTTAAGTATTTCAGTGCAGTCTGGCCTTCACCTCTGTCTGTCTCCAGGCCGTGCTTGTTTTATTATAAACGAGTACTCAGGTGCTTTGCTTTAGTGCTACATCGCGGCGGGCTCTGAGACCGTGGGCAGGTTGGCCCCGACCCCATGTGTCTCCTCGTTGGCCCAGATGCTTTCTTCAGAGACTGATTTCTCTTGCAGTTTGGAATACGACGTCACCTGAGGTCACGGTGCCCAGGTCGCAGGCATAGCATAGACACATCACTTTAGAGGAAGCTACGGTGGTTCTGCCTGTGTGTTATTTGCCGCAGCTTTAAAGTGTCATTTAAAGCTGCATCAGCCCCTTGGGGGTAGGGTGGCCTTGGTGCCCGGCAGGGGCCCGGGAGTGGGCAGTGTGGCGGGGATCAGGGGGCACGCAGGGGCCCCGTGGCCTGTTACGTACGGGGCCGGCTACCCCCGGAGGGCCCCCCTTTGCGGGGTGGGGTGGCACTGGGGAAGCGTCTCACGCCTGGCTGTCCCCTCGCAGGTGCCCACGGCTGGCAGACGCCTGCACACATCAGCCGTGCCAGCACGGAGGCACCTGCACGGATCACTGGTCCTGGCGCCACTGCCGCTGCCCCGCGGGCCTGACCGGGAAGTTCTGCGAGAAATGTACGTGTCGGGTCCCCCACCCTGGCTGGCACTGACCCCCGTGGGCCACCTGCATGCTGGGACGGTCACTAAGTAGCCCCTCTGTCCCGAGGCACGGGGGCCCGTGTCTGCTCGTCCTCTGCAACGGGCGCCGGGTTTGGGCTGTGGCTCAGCACCTCGCGTGTGCGCGTGACAACAGCCACAGCTGGGAGGCCACATGTCCCTTTGCAGCCACAGGGTCCTTTCTCTTGGGGGTGTTTAGTGTCCACACCCTACGAGCTCAAAGCCCCACTCGCTGGCCGTGTCACCAGCGGAAGTGCAAGGGGAAGGACGTTCTGACGAGATGCTGGAGCTGCCAGCCAGCCCTAGCCAACACCTCGAGCCGGGCATCTCTCAAACGGGCCCTGGGGGGCTGCTTCGGTGGCAGATGGTTTCAGGCAAGTGGAAGCCACGGTGCACCAGGGCCTTTGAGGGTCCTTTGGTTCTGTCATGAGAGCAAAAACAATCCAGAATAAGCTAAGAACATACACGATGAACAAGAGAGAGCGCAGTAGCAGGAAGACTAATTGTTTCATTACTTGGCATAAAATAAAAGCAGGAAGAGCAGCGGGTCATTAGATGGCTAACGAGGGGGTTTGTTGAGGAGGGACCTGTCAGTGTCTGGAGACCCAAGCGAGCCCAGGCTTGACCAAACCCTTCCGGGCAGGGCCTTGGCCGCCCTGGGTGCCAGGTGAGGTGTAGGCACAGGCCAAAGAGCCAACAGTGCTGCGGCAGCACACAGATGGCAACACCCAAACAGCAACACCCAAATGGCAACACCCAACTCCAACACCCAACTCCCAACACCTAAACCACAGCACCCAACCTCTAGCCCCCAATTGGCAACATGCAAATCCCAACATGCAAACTCCAACACCTAAACCACAGCACCCAAATTCCAATGCCCAAAGTCCAATGCACTTGGCCAGGGGCAGCTGGGTGGGCAGGAAGTGGTCACGCTGGTGAGGGAAGGTGACCCTGAGGTGGAATTGGTGCTGTGACACTGTGCACTGGAAACTCAGCTGTGAGGAGCTTTGTAAACTGCAGCATCCTCATCAAACTTTTATAAAGAATAATACAAAGTACATGGAGATAGGGCAGGGATGGGAGTGAAAGCCTGGACTCCGACCTTGGGAGTCCTTGGGCTGGGCACAGGCGTGTCCCCTGGCACCCCAGTAAATCAACAGGTGTGGTCATCGCCATACTATGAAATCCACCTTTAATTTTTAAAATTAACTTCATCTTTTCCCCGGGGGAGGGGCAGCTCAGGCAAGGGCCGCAGCCTCGGTGCTGGGCCCACGGCCCCACACATGAAGGTGCTCTCCATCCTGCACCGTTTCTGCGGGCAGAGCGGGAGGAGGCAGTGCCAGAAAATGCAAAAAGGAAAAACCGTGTCCCACCCGTGGCCAGGGAGAGAATACAGGAGGGGAAGCCTGGTCTGCGGCCGGCCCTGTGCAGCCCCCGGCGGCCAGCGTTGACCTCTGGGCTCCAGCAGGTGTGGCCCCCGGCCCAGAACAGGAGGGAGGGAAAGTGCCATGACCCTTTTCGGGTCATTCCCTCTGTCCTCTTTAGCCCCCTCAGGTCTCCATTCTGCACGTCTGAGACTCGGGGCCAGGGTTAAGACACTCGCTTGCACGGGACCCGACTTCAGTCTGATCCCCAGTACCCTGAGGAGTGTGTGAGCACAGCAGGGGGTGGCCCCAAAGCTGCAGCGCCCAGAAAATATACCCCTTAGAACCTTCTGTCAAGCGATACGCCCCAATTAGACGTAAAGATGAATCCCACTTGGCGATGTCAGTGATGTCTTAGCTGTGCAGGCAGGCATTTGGCCGTACACCTCTCGGTCCCGACGCTGAACATACTGCAGGCCAAAGATCAAGCTCTTTGGACTGTTAGAGCATTCGAGTATGAAATTTATGAATTTTGGAAGCACAGTGAAATCAGAAACTTTCCGAGTGCATGTTTTTAACAGGTGTCCGCTCCTAGGGCACCCATAATTCACACCACGCAGCAAATGTTTGAGCACATAGTTGCAGAATGATTCACGGCACATCGAATGGTTTCCCTTTGCTGCCCTGCTGCAGAATCAAGCACTTGGAATGGGACGAGGTGCCGGTTCCCGAGACAGTGGCTCCTCTCTTTGGGGATGGGGGACGGGGGCGTTCTTCCCACAGGCCCGCCCCCGGCTGTCCTGCCCTGTGCCCTGGTGGCCGGGTGGCGTCCCCGGGGACGGGCCTGCTCACGCGTCTCTGCCCCTTGGCCCGCAGCCATCACCCCGGACACGGCCCTGTCCCTGGAGGGCCGCGGGCGCCTGGATTACCACCTGAGCCAGGCCGAGAAGCGCGAGTACCTGCTGCGACGGGCCCTCCGGGGGGCCGCCCTGGAGCCCTTCGGCGTGAACAGCCTGGAGGTGAAATTCCGGACCAGGAGCGAGAACGGCGTGTTGGTCCACGTGCAGGGGAGCAGCGACTACACCACCGTGAAGGTCAGAGAGGGCCCCCGCTGTCCCGCACCCGACCCCCGGCGCTGCCCAGTGGGCCGTCGGTGGGGGGTTTCCATGCCGCACCCAGGGGTCGGGCAGCAGAGAGGGCTGGCGGGCACCCGTCTGTCCATCTGCCTCCAGGGTGATGATACTGTCCTCCTCCTTGGGAACAAAGCAAGAGAATGGGCTTTTCCAATAAAAAAATTCTCTCCAGTCATCACTCCCAGCACTGGCGATCCGTCCGTACTGACTGATGGCTGGAGAGGGGAGGGTTCTTCTCGATTCGCAACCCAGCCCAACCCCGTAAAAGTGAGCATCTCTGGAAGTCACACTGAGCAGAGCTTCAGCTAGGTCAGATGATTTTAAAGGGTATTTCCGGAGAACATAAAGCCATCAGCAAATGAGACGCTGTGCTGGAGAATCGTCGGATGAGCTCTGGGTATCCTATCCGTTCTTGGCATCCCTGACTCTATGTGTGAAGGAAAATCATTTTGTTTAGGAAGCGGGGGTTGGAGGGGAGGTGGGAAAAAGAGGGAAGAAGAGGGGGAGAGAGAGGGGGAAGAGAGAGAAAGCAGAACAAAAGGAAGGAAGGAGAGAAAGAAGGAAGGGAGGGAGAGAGGGAGGGAGGGAGGAAGTTGGCCTTTATTTTTTAAATTTTATTTATTTTTTTGGATTTTAGAAGACTGAGTTTATTTTTTGTATGACTTTTTTTTTTTTAACTTTTTGTTAGTGAAACACCATGAGGTACAGTTGTAGACTTACAAATTTTTGTGCTTGGGCTTCAGTTGTACAATGGTCAAACACCCATCCCTCCACCAGTGCCCAGTTTCCACCACCACGGGTCCCAGTCTCCCTCCCACCCTCCATCCCCCCCATCCCACCCTGCCTCTGTGGCAGGGCATTCCCTTTTGTTCTCTCTCTCCTATTGGGTGTTGTGGTTTGCACAAGAGGCAGTGGGTGCCATCATGTTTAGTCTATAATCTACTTTCCGTATGCTTCTCCCATCCTGGGAGGATCCTCCCAACACCTTTATTTGGTGTTCCCTTCTTTATCTGAGCTCCCTTTTCCCCTAGTATGTGTGGTTGGCCTCCAAACCATGGAGTAAAATTCCTGGTATTAATCTTCATCCACGCTTGGGCGTTAGTCTCCCATTTTGTTACTTTATGTTCCCCAGGTGAAGGCAATCTTCCTATGTCCATCCCTCTCTTTCTGACTCATCTCGCTTAGCATGATACTTTCCATGTAGTACCGAAGTTGGCCTTTAAGGAAGAGAGGAAGGAAGGAGGGAAGGAAAGGGCAAGGAAGGGAGGCGGGGAGACCCGGAGGGAGGGAGGTCAGGCCAGCCCACGGGTGGGGAAGGCTTCCGGGGGCACCTGTGGCTCACAGGGGAGAGACCAGCTCGCCCACTTCTGCTTTCTCTCCCGGGACTCCATCACCCAGGAACCCCTTTCTTCCCTTTGACTTGCTGCTTTCTGTCAGTGCCATGCTGAGCCTTATGTTTGCGACGGTTTTCATGTTCACTTTGGTGAATAGTAAGGAAACCAAGTTCAGGTTTCCTGCATTTTTTTCCACCTGTAAAATAAATGTTTATAAAATTTTTAAACGCTTAGTTCACAAAAAGATGTTATATGTAGGAAAAACAGGTTTAATTCATCCAGATTACTAAAAAATAAGAAACAGATGTTGGCCTTTAAACTCTGGGCTCTTTATCCTCAAAACTTCTCAGCCCGGAGTGAAGCGGGCGGTCAGGTCATACCTCCACGGCCTTGGTATGAAGCTGGTCTCTCTCGGCCCCCACTCATGGAGACGCTGAGTCCTCACCTCAGCTTGGGGCTCCCCGCCTGGTGCACTGGGGGATGGCAGAGACATGGGTGGAGGAGTGTTGCTGGCTGTGGGGTGTGGGTGTGGGGTGTAGAGTGTGGGGTGTAGGGTGTGGGGTGTGGTGTGTTTGTGGGTGTGGGGTGTAGGTTACGGGAACAGCCATGGATGCAGCAGCTGCCAGGGACACCTGGGCTCAGGTGTGATGCTGGTCCTTCTGCTCCCAGAAGCCGCCTGACAGGTCCTGGGGGTCTGCATCCAAGGCCCCATCTCAGGGAGGGCCGACTTGGGCGCCCCGAGCCCTCTCCTTCCCGGGCACCAGCCTGGCCTGGCAGGAAGGCGGGCGCTTGCCCTCCCTGCCCCGGCCCGGCCCCCAGAGCCCCTCCCTATCCCGGGCCCGGCCCCCAGCGCCCCTCCCTGCCTTGCAGATCAGGAACGGCAGAGTGCACTTCACGTCGGACGCGGGTGTGGCGGGGAAGGTGGAGCGCAGCCTCCCCGAGGCCTACGTGGCTGATGGGCAGTGGCACACCGTCTCCCTGGCGCGGAACGAGACGGCCACGGTGCTGTCCCTCGACCACCTGCACCGCCGGGACATCCTGCATGCCACGCAGGACTTTGGGGGGCTGGACGTGCTCACCATCTCCCTGGGGGGCATCCCGCCCAGCCAGGCCCACCGGGACGCCCAGACAGGTAAGGCTGAGTGCCGGGTGCTCGGAGGGCGGGGCCAGGGGCATGCGTGCCCCATGTGCTCACAGCTCCTCACGGCTGCCCACAGCGAGGCACACTCCTTCCCACACAGTCCTCCCCACCTGGTCCTCCCCACACGGTCCTCTGCCATCCTCCCCACACAATCCTCCCCACAGAGTCCTCCCCACAGTCCTCCCCATACAGTCCTCCAATGTCCTCTCAGAACATCCTCTCCACATGGTCCTCCACTGTGCTCCCCATACGGTCCTCCCCACACGTTCCTCCCCTAACGTCCTCTTCACACAGTGCTTTCCCACATAGTCCTCCCCAAACGGTCCTCACCCACACAGTCTTCCCCGTATGGTTCTCCAATGTCCTCTCCACATGGTCCTCTGCTGTCCTCACACGGTCCTCCCCCATACGGTCCTCCCCACACGGTTCTCCCCCAACGTCATCTCCACACGGTCCTTTCCCACACAATCCTCCCCATATAGTCCTCTGCCATCCTCCCCACATGGTCCTCGCCCACACAGTCCTCCCCATACGGTCCTCCCCGTATGGTCCTCCCCCAACATACTCCCTACGTGGTCCTCCCCCACACAGCCCTCCCCATATGGCCCTCCCCACAGGGTTCTCCCCCAGCGTCCTCCCCACATGGTTCTCTCCCATCATCCTCCCCACACGGTCCTCCTCCATGGTTCAATCTCCCCCCCCCCCCCCCATAGGTCCTACCCCCATAGTCCCATTGGGGATATGGGCCCGAGTGGAGCCACACGTGGGGAGTGGCTGACCGGCCACCCAGGCCTCCCAGGGGACTCAGTCTCAGAGAATGCAAATTGCAGCAGTCAGCCAGCGGCCGTAGGGCACCCTCCAGGGCCAGGCGTTGTGCTGTCCTGCCTGGCTAGCCGCGTGCCGGTCCGGGAATGCTGCTGTGTGGCTGACACTGGGCTTCCCCTGTCCTAGTCTCTGGGCCATACCTAGTGGTATCAGGGCTGAGCCCCAGCTCTGCTCAGGACTCGCTCCGGGTGGACCCAGGGGACCAGAGAGACGCGGGCACCCGACATGGTGTCCCCCACACGAGGCCAGTGCCCTCCCCGAACTCCCCCTCCAGCCCTTCTCAGCAGGAAGAGGTGGGCGGCTGGGGTACCAGCTCTGTTTGGGGCTGACCCGGGTTCAACTGCTGGCACTGAGGAGGCCCTGGAGAACGGCTGGGGTGGCCGCGGTGTTGCCGGCACCGCAGGCCACACAGCAGGTACCGCCAGCCTGGGCGATGCCCCCGAGCACTGCTCTGGGAGCCGTCTGTGCCCCAGAGCAGAAGGACAGCCTTCCTTCCCTGGCCATGCCCCGTCTGCCTCTGGACACCGAAGACTAAGGAGCTCCTGTGGACAGTGAGGGAGGCGGCAGGGAGGGGCGCTGCCCGCAGGGCCGCGGAGTTCCATCGGGGCACCCAGAGCAGTGTCGGGAGAGATCCCTGAGCACCGAGTCACCGAGTCAGACTCGGGCCTGAGCGCGCCGGGGTTGGCCTGGACTCGGGCCTGAGCGCGCCGGGGATGCCCAAACTCGGGCCTGAGCGCGCCGGGGATGGCCCAAACTCGGCCCCGGGCGCGCTGGGAGCGCCCAAACCAAGCACGAAAGCAGGGAGAGAGAGAGAGGGGGAGGTCCTCGGTGCGCGCGCGCGCGCGGGCCCCGCGGGACGCCGCCCGCTGACCCCAGGCCCTCTGCCGCAGGCTTCGCCGGCTGCGTGGCCTCCGTGCTGTACGGCGCCGACTCGCTGCCCTTCAGCGGGAAGCACCGGCTGGCCTCCATCTCCAGGACCGACGCGTCGGTGAAGGTGGGCTGCCGCGGCCCGAGCGTCTGCGCCAGCAACCCGTGCTGGGGCGAGCTGCTGTGCCTCGACCAGTGGCACGCGTTCCAGTGCGTGCCGCCCGGGGCCTGCGCCTCGCAGCCCTGCCTGCACGGCGGCCGCTGCGAGCCGGGCCCGGCCGGCGGCTTCTCGTGCAGCTGCCCCGACTCGCACACGGGCCGCGCCTGCGAGACGGCGCTGGCCTGCCTGGGCGTGCGCTGCGCGCCGGGGCGCGAGTGCCGCGTGGGCGCGGGCGGGCCGGTGTGCGCGCCGGGGCCCGAGCCGCAGGAGCCGTCGCTGCCGCTGTGGGCCGTGCCGGCCATCGTGGGCAGCTGCGCCACGGCGCTGGCCCTGCTGGTGCTCAGCCTGATCCTGTGCCACCAGCGGCGCGGCGCGCGCGCGCGCGCGCGGGCGGCGAGAAGCGGCCGCGGGCGGCGCCGGCCAAGCCGGCCAAGAAGCCGAAGAAGAAGAAGGGCAGCGAGAACGTGGCTTTCGACGACCCCGACCGCGCGCCGCCCTACGCCGACGACCTGACGGTGCGCAAGCAGCCCGAGGGCAACCCCAAGCCCGACATCATCGAGCGCGAGAACCCCTACCTGCTCTACGGCGACGCGCCGCCCGCCGCCGTGCCCAGCGCGCCGCCGCCCGCGCCCGAGCCCGACGTGGAGCACTACGACATCGACAACGCCAGCAGCATCGCGCCCTCGGACGCCGACGTGGTGCAGCACTACCGCCAGTTCCGCAGCCACGCGCCCAAGTTCTGCCTGCAGCGCCACAGCCCGCTGGGGCTGGCGCGCCAGTCGCCGCTGCCCTACCCGCTGCGCGGCCCGGCGCTGAGCCCCCGCGCGCGCCCCGCGCCCGCGCCGCTCTTCCGCGCCAGCCCCGCGCGCGAGCTGCTGCTGCCCGCGCCCGCCGAGCGCCTGGGCCGCCGCTCCAAGAGCCCCCCGGCGCCCGGCGCGCCCGGCCCGCGCCCCGGCAGCGCGGCGCGCGCGCGCCACCCCGGCGCGCTGGCCCCCGACGCCGCGCCGCCCGTCGGGCTGTCGCTGGAGGAGGTGGAGCGGCTGAACACGCCGCGCCCGCGCCACCCCCAGCCCGGGCAGCGCCGAGCACGGCCGCTCCTCGTCCTCGTCGGACGGCCGGCGCCCGCCCTCGCGCACGCGCAACCCCGCCGACGGGCTGCCCGCGCCCGAGTCCTCGTCGGACAGCGACTCGCACGAGTCCTTCACCTGCTCCGAGATGGAGTACGAGCGCGACAGGCCGGCCGCGCTGGCCTCGCGCGTGCCCAAGCTGGCGCAGCTGCAGGAGTCGGACGCGGACGACGAGGACGCGCCGGGCACGCGGCCCCGCGCGCGCCGCTTCCCGGGCCGCCGGCCCGAGCCCGCGCAGCCGCCGGGCCGCTTCAGCTGGGACCAGCTGCTCAACTGGGGCCCGGGCTTCGGCCACTACGTGGACGTCTTCCGAGACCTGGCCTCGCTGCCCGAGGGCGCGGCGCCCGAGGACGGCGGCGGGGGCGCGGCGGGGCCGCCGCCGGGCGCCAAGGACGCCGAGGCCGAGCAGTACCTGTGAGCGCCGCGGGACGCGCCGCGGGGACGCCCGCCCCGCTCCCGGGAGCCCCGCTCGCCCGGCGCGAAGATGCGCCGGGGCCGGGGCCCTCGTGGACGTTCCCCGGGGCTGTCTGCGAGGCCCTGCGTGCTGTCCCCGCCCGGCGCCCCCGCGCGCGCCCACCCGGCCCCGTGCGCCCACCCCGACCGCGGGCCGGCACCGGGTCCCACCAGCCCTGCCCATGCACGTCGCGTCCCGCAGCGCCGGCCCGCCCTGGGTCGCACTTTACAAAGTTCTTCCACTATTGGTGCCAAGTTCTGGCCCGAAGGTTGGGCCTGTGACCTCCGTCCGGCGCTGGGCACAGCGGGGCCACCTGTCCGCTCCGGTCCTGCTGCGGCCCGGCCCGGCCACCTCTGAAGATGTCCTCAGACGCGTTTTTAAGGTTATTTATTGAAAAAGTGGTGTTTTATGCTTGTGTAAGTAACATTTGAAACGAACCAGCCTAAACAAAGTCTGTGATTGGACTTCTTTTGCAACCATTTAACTTTTTTACCCCACGTACTGGTCTGTTGTTTGTGTAATTTATATAAAGTCAAGTCTCAACACCTTTTGCTTTCTGCCATTTTGTAGATTTTTTTTTAAATTCGTGTAAAAACTTTTTTTTTTTTTACAACCTAAGCTGTGTTTTTGATACTGATATTTTCCTATGCTGAATGGTTTTCTTACTTTCAGGGAAGGTAAGAAAAATAAAACCCCCTTTTTTACATTTGTTACTTATGTAACATTCATATTTTTCACATTTTGATATTTGTAACATACTGTATGCTTTCTACTTGTAAATGCCAACAATAGAATTAAAATATTTATTTAAAATGCTTTGTCCTTGCTGTCAGGACGTTGAGAGCAGCTTTCTCCCAGTGTGGTGGGAGCTGGTCACTTAGGGGGGTGTGGAAGGGGTCGAGGGCAGGTGTCTCCACAGATCCTTGGGGCTCGTAGGTGTCTGTGATTGGCTCAGCTGGGTCCCAGGAAACCGAGTCTTCGCCATGAGTGGAGTTGGAGGCAGGCCTGGGAGCCCTGGGGTGGACTCCGAGGGCTCTGTCCTCCTGCAAACCTGTGGGCCCCTGAATCGGGGTCCTGCCCTTGTCCATCTGCCCGTCCCCACCCACCGTACCTCTGCTTCCACAGGTGGGGCATCCCACTACAGTCCTCTGGAGACTCTCCACACCCACACACCCCTGGGTTTGCCCGAAGTTTTGCTCCCACTTCACTGGGAAACGCTGTGGGAAGTAGCAGCTGGAGACAGTCCTGTAAGGGTGGTGGGAAGGCGGAGGGTGTGGGGAGGGGCTTCCTCCCCCACAGCCACCTGGAGTCAGCTCCGCACCCCAAGCCCACCAGACGTGATTTCTGAGCAGTCGGGTGTGATTCACAAAGAGCCCCACGCCCCAAATCAAAAGCAAGATGGGTGGATGGGCTGAGAGGGGAGGGTTCTCTCTCCCGGAAGCCGGTAGAGTTTGGGACACAGCCTTGAGCCCCGGGACGCTCCAACGAGTGAGGCTCTGCCTTGTGTCTGCAGACCTGGTTCCAGCCCTGTCACCGTGAGCATAGTAGCGAGCCCTGAGCACAGCCAGTCCGAGCCCCGAGCACCGTGGGGCACTCGGAGATGACAGGAGGCTGTGGCATCAGCTGGTCCCCTGAATCTTCCCTGTAACTGTGTCTATCGCTGCTCTGAGGTCTGTTTGCAATTACAGAATTTAGATCCAGGGGATGTTGAGATGCTTAATTCTCCCCGGAGAGCAAAACAATTTTTGTTTTGAGTTATATGATCAGCACGCTTCCCCAACTCAGTCCTTAAATTCATAATATTAAAATTCATGGAGAAAACCCTCAAATTCACAGGGAAGAATTGAATCCCGCTGACTTGTAACAGGTGACGGAAACAGAGAACATTTGATCAGTGTCTTAGCAACGTCTCTAGACCGTATTATCAGACTATTATCATTTAGATTAGACCCACATTTTATTTCCTGGTCGGAAACAAACAAGATCACATTATTCAATGACAAAGTGCAGCTGACATATATCTCTACCGCTGTATTAAAACATGTTGCTCAAGTAACCCTCCCCCGTGCGGACGCCTGAGCACCCTCAGCCTGGGTGGGCTTCAGAACTCGCCGGTGGTGCCATAGGACTGTGTCCAGAGACACCAGGTGTGGCAGGGCAGAGCAGCAGCCCCTGACTCTGGCCACGCAAGGCACACCCCTGTCGCCCACACGCAGCTGGGAGACACAGGGACCACTCCTCTGGCCCACATGCACCTACAGAGGCACGGGGACCGTCCCTCTCGTCCACATGCCCCTACGGAGGACCAGGACCCTCATTTCCTGCCCCTCCCCCCATGAGGGTCTCCAAGGGGTGGGAACAGCAGCATCTACGACACAGACCAACCCCTGTCTGGACAGCTCGGAAGCCTGTGACCCTCGCTCTCACGCTGCCAGGCCAGGGGCAGTGGCTGGGTACCGGCGAATTCTCACTCAGAGTCAAAACTACGCAGACTCTGAATCAGCCCCAGGGTTGGGGGTGGGGGGCGGACGTGAAGGCTTGGGTTCCAGAGCAGGGACTGGTCGTCAGGACCCTCGGCGAGGTGTTGGCCGCCTGCCTTACAGTGACGCCCACGGCTGGACCCACTCTCGTCCCACTCATCTGCCGGCAGACCCGCAACTGGGTGCTCCCCTGAGCCACACGGCAAACGTGCACGGGAGCCGGAAGTGCATCTCTGCTGAGCCTCTAAGTTCTTCCTCCCCTTGCCCTCGTGCCGCTTCCGGAGCGGGGCTGCAGGGAGCGTGAGCACCGAGGGGAGGCTGCCTTTCTCCCTGGGACCCCGCTTTCTCCCCTTCCCCCCCCAAACTTCCCGACAGTGGCCAGCCCACCCACAGCCAGGGCTGCGGAGCTGAGCAAAGTGCGAGCAGCTTCGAACTCCAGGTTCCTCCGAAGACATTCTTAGAGCCGAGTTCCAATGAGGCTGTTAAGTGGTGTGGAAATTGCGGAATGATCATTTATATTCCTTTATTACTTTCATCAGAGTATTCCACTGAAATCGCTGAGCCTCTAAGTACCGTGAATATATTAATATGGAAAGTCATCATTTGGCTTTTATCCCCCGACGGATGGAAGCGAGTTGGGATGGATGCGGCTGCTCCTTGCAGAGGTACGCCAAGCCAGCTGCTGCCTGAATTATTAACACTCCCACCAAACCCACGAGCTGTTGTTGCTTTTCCTTTGGTAACAATTAAGAAGCTCCAATTGGTGGATTCTCCCTCTTCCTGTGATACAAGTTTGATTTACTCGCTATCATTAAAAACTGTATTGCAGAGAAACATATTAAAATATTCAACAGAGGGTAATTAGCTGTCTTTGTTGTGTATGCAGTAATAACGCTCAAAACTACTTCTAAATCTAGAGAATAAACTCAGGCCAGAGCAGAATAAGCGGCTTGCCTGAATTCAGCAGTTAATTCCGACAAGTCAGTGACTTACGGCCCCCTGCAGACATTCCTGCCTCTCCCAACTCTCTGATCGCTCAGTCTTCTAACCAATAACAGAACTGGAATTACGGAATCCTCTTTTGCCAGACATAAATTTCCCCAGGGACCCTCATCGCAGGGTGGAATGTTCAGCAAGGCAGCAGACAGAGTGAGAGAAGGTATGTGGAGTCAATGAAACAGAACTGAGACTTGCCAATCAGTCGTGTTGTGGAGAGCATCAGGACACCAGGCACCAGAGCTGAGGACTCACATCCTTCTGTCAAACTGCCCCTTTTGTCAAAGGGGACACTTGGGCAAAGGACACAGTTCCATCCTAGTGCTAGCAGAGTGGTCCCTCATTTAGTGGGAAATGGGTCTCCAAGTCACAGATGCATTTTGAGTCTGCTGAGGTCCAAGAGCTGGTGGCAAACTAGAGGTGCACAAGCCAAAATATCTGCTTGGTGTGTTTTCAGACTCTCTGGATAACTTCCAGCCTCTTCACAAAGGTCTGAGGTTTATAAGAAAAATAGATGAAGAGATGCAAGTCAATAAGTTGAAATTCATGGAGACTAGGGTCCCCCTGCCTGAAAAGTCTGGTGTGCTGTCAGGAGCGG